TATAGAAGGGTACTAGTAGGGATAGTATAGGATTCAAAGACTTATACGGCTTGTGTCGCTTAGTCTGTAGCTCTAAGCAGTCCTAATAGTAACTTAGATACTTTTTTAGTCTCTTAGCTAGTTTCCGGATGTAGTACTAGTCATTTATACGGGCATAGGCACGATAAAAGCCGATATGGTATTAGTTATCGTATATACTGCTAAAAATGTTACCCTCTAATGCCTTTAGGATACACAATCGTCGGTCGCCTAAATAGGGCTTATCGAGCTATACTAGGCCTTCGTCGTCGACTAAGAAGCTAGTAGAGCCTAGTTCCGCGTTCTATACTATTACTTTGATGTTGCTCTAGTATTTATCTTCTTCGTATGCTTCGATAAGCTGTTGCTTAAATGCGTCGTCCATTTCTAGTATTATTACTCCGTATACTAGTTCCTCGAATACGTCGCCCTCCGGGAGATAGTCCTCTATCGTCTCTAGGCGCGACAAGGCGTCCGGCACGATATGTTCTCGCCCTAGCTTATAGACTACCTTTAGTAGAAAAAGGGAAAGATATTGCGACGATCTCGTTAGTCGGTTGTTAAGCTTATTAACTAATAAGGAAGTTAAGGCAGTCTAGCTTACGATTCCTAGCGTTGCCGTATAATCCGTAAGTACGGTTACTACCGACTCGTATGCCTCGACTATCTATCGTACGCGTTTAATCGTCTATACTAGGCAGGCGACCTCTAATTCGGTTAGCTAGTACCGTCGCTTTGTGCTAGAAAGAGTCTTTAATAAAAACAAAATTAGTTGCGTCTTTGTTCTACCGGGATTTTTAGTAATAGCGTCGCCCTCGACGTAGGCTACTATTGCGCCGAAGCCTCGTTTCTTAGACGCGTCGATATAGATATAGAGCGGCCGGTGTCTCGCGAAATGATGCAGCATCGTTAGCTTAGCAAAGGCCTCTTATAGGGCTTGAAACGCAGCTAGTCGTTCTTCCGTTTCCTCGATTAGTATCGTTGCTATATAATGTCGACGTGCCTAGCCGGCCGCAGGCGCTCCCTTAAGCCTCTCCGTTTTTATCTTCTAGAGCGGTTCCGCTAGTTAAGCGTAGTACTTAATGTACGTCCTTAGCTATCTAGTTAGTCTAAGATAGTGCTCTAGGTCCTTTAGCGTTTGTAGGAACTTAAGCTTAGTAATAGCCGCTAGTTTGTCGGCCGGCGTCGCTATACCTAAGGCGTCGACTCGTTGCCCTAGTAGCTAGATCGATAGGTACCCGATAAAAGCCTTTTTAGGTGCTATAGTTAGCTAGTGTCGGTTTAAGGTATCGAATACCTTGTCGAGATAGTATAGATGTTCCTCTAGCGTTTTGCTATAGATAACGATGTCGTTAATAAAAGCCTTAGCGAACTCGTTAAGTCCTTCCGTTCGTAGGATTCTGTCGATTTGTCGCTATACGTAGGGCGGCGCGTTCTTGTAACCTATTACGGCGACGTTATACATTTCCTAGCCTCTATAGGAAACTACTAAGAGCTTGTATCGGTCTTCCGCTTTTACTAACTATTAGTAGAAGAACGACTTTATATCGATCGTCGAGATGAATTTAGCGCCTTAGACAGCGGCTAAAACGTCGCCCTATAGCGGCATCGGGTAGGCGTCCGTTATCGTAATGCGGTTAAGTCTATAGATATCGACAACCGCTCTACCTTTGCGGCCGTTCTTTAATTCCTTCTAGACTACGAACGTAGGGAACCTAAAAGGTATTAGTTCCTTCGTCTAGGATATCTGTCCTTAGTCGTATAGCTTGTCGTAGACGCCGTCGATAATCTCTCGTTCCTTCGGGCCTATAGGGTATACCTTATATACTAATTTAGCGCCCGCTGCCTTCTAATCGCTAACTAGGGGGATCGTTATCTAGTCTTCTTCGGGAACCTTAGCGAAACGGCCGTTATCGATAAACAGCTGCTTATGTTTCTCTAGCAAGGCGTTGTATTTAGCCCTCGTTTCGTCGTCGCTATATAGTATAGCGCCTATTAGGCCTAGCTTTTCCTTCGCTCCCGGCTGCGCTAGCGGTAGCGACTCGTCGTCTTCCTCTCGTTCGGTAGTTACTATAAAGTATAGTAACACTCGAGCTCGTCCTTTCTAAGCGATATTTATCGTTACTACGGTGCTATTTAGGAATTGCATTTCCTTATTAGCAAAAGACAAGACTAACTTCTCCTTTTCTATTAAGCGCGTTCCTAATAGTACGCTAGCTAGTAGGCTGTTAATTAAGTATGCTCTTATCGATATCGTAACTCCGTTATTAAAAACTATATTAATAGGCATCTTATTAGATAGGCTCGTAATCTTGTTGCCTACTCCGCGTATCCGCTAGGGGCGCGTTGCCTTTAAAGGAACTCTATTAGGGTATCGCTACTAGGCTAATGTTCGATCTATAAGAGTAATTAGGTTACCGCTATCTAGGCATATCTCTATTGCTATATTGTTTATCTAAGCTAACATAGTTGCGTATCTAGCAGTTATGCCCGTTTGCTTGTCGGATCTAGCAGCCGCTAGGATTTTTGTCCCCGTCCCTTATAGTATTTAGTCCGCAAATACGAATAGAGCCGGTTAGACGTCTCAAACTCCTAGCGGCATACCGTATAGGTATACTTGTTATATACTAGACTTAGATGTCCTACGTTAAGAACATCTACCGCGTTAGCATTAGCGTTAGTATCGTCGTCGCCTCCTTTATCGGATAAATACTCGTTAGAGTCGACGTAGTTAGCATCCTATTATTCCTCGCCCTCTAATTCCGGCTCCTTATCGACCTAATAAGAGTCCTGCTTCTTACGCTAAGCGAAAGGCTTTATAGGCGGAGGCTTAGCCTTGTCGAAGGTCTTCTTAGCGCCCCTTAACTGCGACTTGTCGCTTACTAATTCCTAACGGTCTTAAGGCTTCTAAAAGCGTTAGTCGCTTCGACCTTAGTCGCGGCGAGGCGGCGGCAGCTATAAAGAACGTATAGAGTTAGTCTAAGGCTTCCTAGAGCCTTCCTATCGATCCGTCTATTAACGGCTCGGTCGGAAGTCCCGATCTTAGTTACGCTATAGTTGCTTATCCGCTAAGCGGGTAGGGAAAGGTCGCGATAAAGAACCGGCAATAGCGGTGTTACGTCGGTTTAATCGTCGTGCTAGTTTAGCCTACGCTAGTTGCTCTTCCTTAAGCCTTTATCTAAATAATACAATAGTGTCCTCTTCTCTCGGTAGCCGAATGCTACGTCGCAGCTCTATATCGATGCCGTTCTATATATACGTTAGCTGCTAGCTCTTATTAACTAGGCCGGCGTTGCGTATATAGCGTATTACCTCGCTAAGGTAGGTATCTATGCTACGTCGGTTGCCTACGTCTAATAATGTGTATTTAAGCCGCGTTAGTTCGTTTAGCGACTTAGATAGTAGCGTCTAGAAGTTCTCTCGCAGCGTCGTAAACTAATAGTCTAGACCTAGTACGTAGCGAAGGCCCTATTTCGCTAGGTTGTTAAGCGTGTTAGTATACTAGGTTAAGGCCGTTCCTCGCAGTAGTACGGGGATTCTAGACTTAACTCGATCGTTGCTACGATACGCTGCAATATCCTTAAGTCGTTTAATAAAGATGTTAATATCTCGGAAGAAGGTATCGGATTCTACGACACTCGGGTCGTCGTCTCCCTTCGGTAGGTCTAGCTAGAAGAAGCTAATTTCCTAGTCCTACATTCGGTCTAGGTTGCTAGCCTCGTTAAAGACAGGCGTGCTATTTCTATTTCTATTGCCTGCCGCAGGAGCCTAGCCTACTAGTGCCTAGGCAACTGCCGCCTAAATAGCGGCTATTATTTCCGCCGAGATAGCGTCCCCTTATTCCGCTATAGTAGGAGGCTAGACGCTCGTTACCTATATAGTTACTATTATAAGTCGAGCCGTCGATATAGTCGAAGGTCGTATGCTTATAGTAGAGGTCGCTATTGTTATTATTATGTTAGGCGATTGCTATAGAGGCTGTTATAATCTAGAGGCAGCTGCCCTTAGCTTAGAAGGTAACTTCCCCTTTACGGGTAAGTGCCTTCCGGACCTGCTTGCTATAGCAGTCGCCGATAGTAAATTTAGCCTATATCTTCTTTTATAGAACTATAGGAACGAGTTCTATACAGGTTGTCGGTATACCGGTAAGTCGAGCCACTTAGGGGGATAGGTCTCTATCGCCTAAAAGTCCTATAGAAAGCGTACTAGATAAGACCTAACCTCCGCGTTAGTAATCCGGTTAGTTCGCGCGTATATAGCGAAAGCGCGGTCGTCGTCTATAGGGTTTATATAGACATATATTACTCCGTATATACGGTCGCATAGAAGTAGTAAGGGGAAGTAGTTAGGCTCTTAGTCGGATTAGCCCGATCTAGTTGCCTCGTCCTAGTAGCGTCTCGAATAACTCCTAGTAGCACGAGGGTTTAGTGCGAGCGAAGCTACTAATTGTTATAAAGTTGAGATTGATAATGATTATATAGAGTTGAGGAAGGCTAATTACAGGTAGAGCCGTTGCTCTATTAGTCAGCCAGCCCCTGGACCGTTACTTCCTTGTTCCGTAACATCGTGCCTGGGATCGGAATAAAGTCGTCGCCTAGAATATCACGAGCTTAGAACTAGCTATGCCCAAGGTTTATTCGCGGTCCGGAGAAATGCCTCACCTTGTGCCAGCACCCATGCGAGCGACAGCTGTCCGGCCGTGCACCCTTTCTTCTTCGCCAGTTCCTGCAGCTTGTTAACGAGTTTCACGTTTTCGTCGAAATGCTCCTCCGAAAATCTGGGATGATTCTTGCGGTTATCGGAGTCGTCGAGATCTGCGCGACTCTGCATGGTGCCCGTCAAAAATCCGCGACCCAAAGGACTGTACGCTACAATCTTCACTCCGAGTTCACGAGCCGTCGCGAGGAACTTCGTTTGCTCAGACTCGATCTCCAATGCGAACGGCGAAAATTCCATCTGTGCCGCGGCAATTGGATGCACCCTGGAAGCTCTTCTCAAAGTTTCTGCCGAACACTCTGAAAGACCTAGGTACCTGATCTTGCCCTCTTGCTTCAGCTCCACCATCGCCTGTACCGTCTCTTCAATCGGAACGTTAGGGTCCACGCGATGCTGGTAATACAGGTCGATTTGGTCGATGCCGAGCCGTTCAAGGCTGCCGTTGCAGGCCTCCTTGACGTATGCTGCGTCACCACGCACTGTCGCTGAACCGTCTGCGTTCCTCAAATTTCCGAACTTTGTGGCCAGGAAAATTTCCTTTCGTCTGCCCGTCTCTCTGAACCATTTGCCGATGAGCTTCTCGTTCGTGTGGGGGCCATAGATGTCTGACGTATCCTGAGTACGGTCAGCGAAGTCTCAGACATAATCCTAAGCGAAGAGCTGGCCTACCCAGAATGTGATGCCCCTGTCAGCCGCAGCGGTGAGAACTTTCAAGGACTCCTCGTCATCGTAGCCGCCATACGAGGTGTACGCGAAGGACATTCCCATACAGCCGAGCCCTTGTGCTGAAACATAATCATCGCCGAGCTTGCGTTGAGGGTATTTGGACGACATGATGAAACGATTGTTGAGTAGGATGAGATGCTTCTCTGTGAGGGTTCCGATTCTTTTGTAGTCACTGATAACTTTGAAGGAGTTATGACAGTGGCTCCATTTCTGTTACGCCGCTAACCCCGCGATCTGCCCCTCACCATTATGGTACGCGAAGGAGGGGTCAAGCCTTGATCGGCGTTGTCAACGTAAGGTTCCCAAGCGACACGAGCATCAGCATCGCCGGTCACTCGATCAACTCAAGAATCAGCAGCAGCATTAACATGCATTCAGCAGTACAAGACGATCAAGACTCGCCAAAGCCATGAATTTGCCTTTAAAGCTGAAATACTTGAATCACACTGCACTGCGACGTGTCGATAACTTCAAGTTGACAGGACTGAGCAAAATTGTAATTCTTAACCACGACGCATCACGATGGAGGAAGCAGGAACAATTCTTGGCTTGTCGATAAGCTTCCAGGTACGACGGACTCGGCTCCACCAAGAATGGCGGATCTTTGACAAAGCTGGCAAGTGCTTTGTAGCATAATGGGAAAGAAGACGCTCATTTTGCAATTGGTATCTATGCCATAAATTCATACGCTCGTGTTTCTCGTAATTCGCTCTTGGCCAGGCGTCAATGCCTCAACCAAATCCTGCGCAGAATCCCACACACGAGGACTGCTCTCCAAGCTCGTGCTCGATCGGCACACGGACGAAATGTCATTCCAGCTTAGAATAGCAGGTCGCCCAAAAGGAGACCACCCAGCAACCCACCACCAATAGCCAATGGCATACCGAATCCTCCCCCATACCCGCTACCATAAGGCCTGCCATACGGCTGCTGCGGCGTGATATAGCGGGCATTCGGTGTGGTGTAGATGCCATTACCACCATATGCACCACCGTAAGGATAGCCGTATCCACCTCCATAGCCTCCACCATAGCCCATAGGCTGCGGAGGCTGGATGTAGATATCCTTGCCATCGCGGTCCTTGCCAATATGCTGTGGCTGTCCCGTCTGAGCCGCTCTCTGCATCGCTTGCCGCACACGCAAGTGCATCTCATACGCTTGCCTCTCCTGCTCAGCTCTCTGCTCGCGCATCCTCTCGCGCTCCTCATGCGTCGTGCCCGTGACCTTGTCTTTCAACTTCCTGCCGAAGGACTTGTGCTCTGGCTCTTTGCCTTTTCCGTCAGGTCGAGGAGGTAGCGGCGGATCTGACGAACCAGCTGCAGAATGTTGGCGATGATCACCCTCGTCATCCGAAGGAGCGTTGATGTAATCATCCTTGGTAGGGTGATGCTTGCCTCGATAGGTTATGCTTTCCTGTTCCACGCGCTCGCGCTCTTCGCCGGTGAGGGAGTTGAGATACTCTTCGTCATCGTAGGGATGGACCCATATACTCCGTGGTGGGTCTTTCGTGGTGTCGACGAAGAATTGGTGGTTGTTCTTTGGGTCGAATGTCCGTACCCAGCCTTCGGGGAGAGGTCGCTGCTCGTCTTCCATAGAACGGCGGTATGCAGCAGGCACACCGCCCTTGCCGCTGGTGCCTGGCACATTTAGGTGTGAGGAGCTGCTGGCGTTGTTGGAGCTTCCGGCTGGTGGATGTGATGCCGATGACGATGATCCGGTTGCTTGCGCATAGCTGGGAGGAGCATCTTCGGGAATGTCTGATCGGTCTGCCATGGTTGTGCGATAGGTCCAGAAGGTGTGGTAGTGACTGAGAGGATTACTAGGTGATATAGTCAGACAAAGTCAATTCCATCAGGAAGGGCATGGAAAGTGGCAATGGGGCACTGCTGTGCGAGTTCCGGCGAAGCGCTCGTGACAGCCTGATGACGCAGCGCGCGCGGGAAGGCCCGTGCAGCACTCGGCAGGGTTCAGGTTGCCTTCGTGATTCCATTTCCTCCTTTCATCTTCACATCGTAATGCTCCACTTGCCATCTCTACAATACCCTCCGATATAGAGCAATCACTATCCGTCACTATGCGGTGTCGGCAGCGATCACTACGCATGTTCTCCAATTCCAGCTCACGTTGTCACTTACTTCGCCGGATTGGGATTCGACATTGACGCCTTTGTTCCCCATACAGATTTCCTTGAGAATGAGAGGCAGAGATTTATGGATGTTATACCAGAGATTTTGAGGGAGGAGAGGGGTTGGAGGTTGGAAGAGTTGCAAAGGCTTAGGGTGCCTAAAGCGTTTGGAGGGTTTCAAGTCGAGGTGGATTGAGTTGCTTGCACGCCGCGTATCATGCCGCTTCAGATATAAAAGCAGAAACTCCAGCTCGCCGGTCCGATTCACAGGCTTGCAAAGATCTGCATGACCCGGAAACAACGCATCACGTCTCACAGGCCCGCCCAGCGTCTTTCGCCTTTGCTGGGCAGCGAAGCGTGGCTAAGGAGCACGAGGCCGCCATGCTGGCTGAAGAGATACCTGATTCCAATTACGAAACTGTCTACTATCTACCTGCCGAAGAGTCGTGATCTGGCCTCAGAATCCTGCGACTTGCTGGTGGCGCGGGCACTGATCCTATGTCACTATGGCGGCCTCCGACGCCCACTCCAGCGTTTACAGCTTTCCTTGGTATTGATCGCTCGCTGCGGCCATCATTGGAGAAAGCCATGGCAGGAAGCTCATTATAGTCTGCTATACCTCATCAGCACGAAAGATATCCGCAACTAAACGTTTGGCTACTTACCTGCTCTGGCCGCTCGCGCATTTTTGTTGAGCTGCTGAGATCGCGAGCGAGCGAATGCTGCAGCACTGAATGGATTTGGAGCTGCATTGTCATACTGGGGAGGAGCTACCTCATCTACTGCTTCATGGCGCATCTCGTTGAGCTCCTGCCGGGAATGCCTATGAGGGCCAACTCTTGCAAACATGCTGGAGGCATTATCGCGATCGTCATCTTGCCGTGTGCGAATTTGTCGCCTTCTCCGTAATAACAAGATAACCGCAGCTGCGATCAGGACCACGCCGACTCCCGAACCTACTCCTACCACGATTTTTTTCCAGAGAGGCCATTCACTGGTATCCTGACGAGGCTCCAGCGTCGACGAACTTGTTGTTGGTGTTCCAGACGCTGCCTCGGACGCCGATGTCGTTGATGTGATTGATTTTGATGTTGGCGACGGACTTGTTCGGATTTGCTGAGTCGCTGTCACAGTGCTGGTTTGCACTACTGTGGTCTCGATAGTGGACGGCGTGCCATCAATGATGGAAGTGTATACCGTGTCTCTTGGGCCACACTTTGCCGAGGTGAATGCATCTGTGATGCACACTGAATTGTCACTGCAGCATTCTTGCGTGAACCATTGATTGTAATAGCCACACGGAGCTGTGCAATCGTTTCGAACCTTCAGCGCTCCATTCGGCTTTGGAGTTGGGATGAAACCATGAGAAATACCGCAAGCGGTGATGATCAGAGCTGCGCTTCGGTACTTGGAGATCATGGTGATGTTTGAAAACAGCAAGCAGCGATATCCCGGCCCTCCCGGGTACCACGTACGACATGCATCGAGATATATGTGTGTCGGTACGTGTGTCAAAGGCGGTTCTCGCTAAACTGGGCAGCCAAATGTGTGGAAATTGAGCCGACCTGCTCAGCCTTCGCAACACGGTGATCAACCGGATTTGCGACCCATGTACATGGCGAAAGAGCGGCTTGGTGTGGGCGGCCTCGATCCTCTAAGGCTGCGCGGCAGTAACTTCCCCCCCCCCCCCCCCCCCCAATAGCGGCAAGCAAGGCAAGCCACTCGCTGGTACACATTGTCCTCTAGGCGGCTGCGCTGCGGTGTTCGAGTGCCTTCATCGCCAGGATCAACATCTCGAGCAGCTGCCAGCTCATCAAGACGCACGAGTGAGGCCTCCTTCGCCTCTCGGAACCCTAACATTTCTGGCTCAGCCTCAAGTGGTTCGCATTGCCTTCCAAAAAACTACGATAGTCTCAAGGAACCTAGGAGAACCGCTTGCTGACACAAATGGTGCCGAATTTCATTGCGGTTCCGATATCCTACACGCTTTCCTCCATCGCTCGCTTAGACATCGACCAGCCTGTCAGTAGATTTATCTCTAACCAGGGCACCGTGCATTACTGTCCATTACAGCTTCTCGCGCTCAAGCTCACCGCATCTGAAAGTTCGAAATGGCACTCTCACGGTACAACAGCACGAACCGAAAAATCAATGCATGGATTGGATCAGGTGGTCAGATTGCTGGCCAAGCTCCTAGCGAAGAAATAGATCGTCTGACGCTGAAGATTGATGACAACAGCGACATGGCCTCAGATGTCGGCGGAGGGGGAGAACTCGTCGGCGCGAACGGCGTCCACCAGGATTTCTTCGACGATGTCACAAACAAGGCACTGTTGCCCGACTCAACATCACAATGGCTCACTCGCTTTGAAAAGGGCGAAGATGTTCACATACAGCAGACCTTCATCAAAGCAAAGCGTGCTCAGTTCAAAGTGGCTCCAACGCCGTTTGTCGGTCTTGTAGTACTCCCGGGCGCTGATAAGCCTACCGTAGCGAGACTGGAGGAGAGCAACATGACAGATAAGCGACCTGACCAGCGTGACTCGACTTACAGAGTCAACACTGCCGGCTCACTGCTCGAATCATGGACTGTCAACAAGGACTTGAGCTTCCGGAACGAAGACAATACGTTCAAAGTTGTGGATGGCATCAAAGTGCGCAATCGAGACGGCAAGATCTCAATACCTGAATACAGCAAAGACACAGTCACCATCGACAGTCAACAAGTTGAGATTGTTGACGAGCTGCGAAAACGATATGATGGCAGACCAGAGTATGATCTCTGCGCCACACTTATCGAAGTTGATGCCGGCTCTCTCGTCAAGCTCATTACCAATTTTCGTAAGCTAGTCTCGCAGTCGAGCCGTGATCCAACTCACGACCGCGACAATTTAGAGAACATGATGGAAGATACCAGGACCTTCTGTGCAAGGAGCCCGATCCTTTTCAGAGCAGGGACCCGAAATCGAGTGATCGATGCTGTAAACATACGCTATGGAATCGACGACGAGCAAGGTTTCAGGACTATCTACACCAGCAGAGGTATCCAGCAGCTCATCAGTGTTAGCGCGTCATACTTCAACGCGCTTGACCCCACAACCAGATCCGCGAACGATATGACTCAGACAATGGTGCGGCCGCGGTTCTTGCAGACGCTATGTCTCCTACTTTCAATGCTCTCGAACGTAGACATTCGCCAGATGTCCGACTTTCTCGACGCCACGTATGGAATCACAGCTGATCGGCCTAATATAGAGATTCTGTTCCTCAAGGTCATTCCCTTGGCATCCATAAATTCGAAAGTCTTCTTGTCCTCGGTAGTCCCGGCAGTGCTAGGCTATAAAGTGGACAAGAAGGCCATCGAGGATGAAGCGCAATGCTGGGAGACATTGCTGAAAAAGCTGGCAGAGAAGGGCTATCTACTGCCTGGAACAGTAGATGATCTCGGTCGTAATGAGCATAGCTGGTTGTATCAATGGCCAACCAAGGATGAGGACCGTATTCGTTCGAGCCATATCTTCGGTCGCCTGCAGCTTCATGGGGAGAATCTGAGGGGCTTCAACGAGATACTTACAGTCAAGGTTGGTACTGAGTCGGACGAGAAAGAACTGACGATCTATCTTCAATACTTCCCAGACAGAGCGTTCAGCATCGCTGCCAGCGATTACGAGCATCTACACTGTCTGGATCCACGGGAGTACATACTGCAGGACACGGCAGAAGAGGCGAATGGGCGAGTTTGCAAGGTGACCATCTGCTCCAAACCACTGAACGATCTTTCTAACGAGGCTGTACGTCTGATCAACAGAATCTTGCCTACCATCAATAGAGAGGTGGTACGAAGAGGTGGAAGTAAGTTGACCAAATGGGCTGGTCGTAAAGGATCGAACGGGGATCCTGGTATCATCGCCGGCGATCTGCAGATCGCACCAACCATTACCAGACATGAGGCTTGGCTGGAAGGGGTTAGCGCACCGCTGGCTGTGACTTGGAAGTGTGACGGCAGGACGATATCGAAAGTTGATATGCTTCGCCGCATGGGACGTAGCATCGATAGGATCAAAATTGTTGTGGAGAAATTCCTCCGCGGGAGAAACCACAGGCTTGGTAAGTCTTACGTCAAAACAAGATTCATCCGTGTCCTCTGACAGGACTCAGACGAGAGGGAAGCGACATATGCTTCTCAAGTCCAAGAATGTCTGGCACGAGAAGACGAGATCCTTCGGAGAGAAGAAACTACCAGAGCAGCGCCAGACACGCCGATTGCACGCTCGGTTCATCCAGGTGACGATATCTCCGTCGTCCGCTCCAAGATCTGGTTCGAGTACAAATCACAGTATCGTCCAGACCGCGACCAGCTCTTCGTGTGGGCACAATCAGACACGATCACAGGCGTCAAATGGCTGCGCGGAGGAAGTCAAGCTGAGATCATGCTGCGAGGCATCCCGACAAAGTTCATCGTCGCCGCACTGCGACCAGAGCTCATGATTCCGCAAGAGGATGAAGTCGTTCAGGGCGACATGGTGCTTCTGGCTGGGAAATATATGATCGTCACGTCTCTTGCCAGCGGTCCTGCAAGCTACGAAGGCCCGAGACAGTTGCCTCACTACGAGATGACGAACTGGCTGGAGATTCAAAGTATTGACGAGCAAGCCCAAAGTCGGAGGAGGAAGAATAAGATCGGCGTTGAGAGAGCGCTGCACATCTTCGTGTAGTAGCATCGTTCACGCCTGAGGCTCTGCCAAGATCTCTCAAACCCGGTGGCCTACATGATCGTAGTCTACGGCAAACCTGACCTGTTTTCGGGGCTTACCTATCGCTTCTGAGTAAATAGCGCTTCTAATGATCTAGCGTATCAACTTCTCCTGAATCTTGGACATTCAACTCTCCCGCAGTACATGCCGAGACACATATAAATCCTCACACCCCGACGAAAATGACCAAACACTACGAGATCAAGGTTTTGCCTGGCAAAGGCAATGCTATGGTTGCTGTGCATCCTCCGGCGCCTGGCACTGTGATGTGATCCTCCATGACACCCCGATCATGAGTGTACGGATGTCGGGCGACGGACGTTCTGCCATCACTTTGGGCAAGGAGATGAAGACTGGCTTCCTCGTCACGCATGAAGAGTATTGCAATTCGATCATGGGGAGAGTTCTGGAGAGCACAGGGTGACCGCTGTTCTGATAGGATATAAAAATTGAGCCTGCTATGGTTGATCGACCGAGATCTGGACCTCAATACCCGACGCGCGCCAACATGACGGGAGGTATAAAGGCGTATTTGAGGTTGCGAACGGCTCTAGAATATGACTCAGTCCGCAAGTCGTCGGCCAAAGGACGCTTTTGCACCTGTCTCACGGGAATTTCACCACTCCTGTGCTGATTTGCCGACCTACTCACATTGAACCGATGGCGATTGTGTTGCCACAGCATCAATGATTTCCATGGCACTGCCTCACATGCCACTTCACGACATCTCGACCATCATTCTCGGCTCAATGGCGCATTCAGCAAGGCGTCCGTCCAGACGCTTGACGACTGAACATCAATTTGGCCGATCTGAACCAGCATGGAACATGCTGGAGAGGATCGGGCATCGAGATCTGCTATTGAGCTGAGGGCGATCGTTTTGCCACGGAGGTACTTTTGGATTGAGCGCGACACCGTCAAGACGAGATATTTCCCGTCATTGTCCGGCGACTTCGACAATTATTCTCAGCTCAAAGCCTCAGTCTTTACGTCGTCAGCCAACTGGCGCTTGATTGGAACTAGGGACGAACTAAAGCTGCCAGACTCAACATTATGAGTGGTGGCACATTCGAAGTTTCGGCACGATTGCTATTCTCACAAGTCAAGATTCGAGCTCACTGTGACAGATGTACTTGATTATCGTGCTAAAGTTCATATTCGATGTCCATGCTAAGTTCGTGGTATACTCGCAATCATGCTCACTTACATGCATTTTGCCTTCACCCAGCCAACGCCACGCTAAGCACAACCCACCCATCATCGCTTATGCACCAGCTCTTACCCTCTCTTCAATACCAGCCTTCAACTCCTGTATAACCTCTTCACCGAGCCACCTCATAAAAATGCTCTCATCTCTTTCATCTTGCTCATCCTCGAGCATATGTCTCCCGCTGCCATTCATCTGTTCTTTGGCGTGTCTTACTCTTTCGGCCCAAGCAAAAAGGACCCTCAAGTTCCAAAGATCTTGACTGCGATCGCTTTTCACGGCTTTGGTCAGCACCAGCCTATCATCCACCACGGTCGTGCGTTCATTCGTGTATATGCTTGAGCTGATCTCCGGCGGGAGGAGCATCTCCACATCAGCTTTGTCCAGACCTTCGAAGGCGGGTAGGGAAAGGACGGTTTGCCAAAGATTGGACGCGCTACGATTCTTCATGTGAGGTTGGGTGCTGAGCGACATGTCACTCAACGCTGCCAGGGCCGCGGTGAAGATTGAATCGTGGGCCTCCGCGGCAGGGCATCTGCGGACTGAGATATGTTGATCTTTGCGGAAGGCTTCCAGATGCGCTGGATTCGCTTCGAAATCTAGCGTAACGCGCCAGTAGTTCGGATCATCGGTCTGCACGGTCGCGATCAAATGCAGTTCAGGCAGCAGACATGGAGCGCGAAAATTCATCTGCTCGCCGTTGCGCAGAGTGACAAGAATTGGCATGTGGATCGGTCGCTGGGTATCTATATCCTCGATGACGATGCACCTGGCTTCTGCTGCAAGAGTCCAGAGGTGTCGAAAAGCTTGTAGATGGACCCTATTGTCGTGAACGTCAATCGGGAAAATGGGATAGAATGATACCATCATCGCGGCCAACGCCAGATCAGATGTGGTCAAGGTGAAAGTGCCACCGCCCAAGAACAAGACGCCAATTGCCAGATGGGAGGAGAAATGCGAGCCGTAGGGAGTGTCCGAATCAGTGCGGCCATGCATTCGTCGCAGGTATCGGAAAGTCTGCAGATCTCCTGTTCCAGCCATAACCGTAGCCGCAGACAGCGCCAAAACATCCATGCACCGGCGGAGAGCTGATCGAGCGAGCTTCCCATCGAAGTAAAACGCATCGGCGCCCTCGCTGAGACGATGAAAGAAGCTCAACAGCGTCAGTATTTCGTCCCTCGCGATTGCGTTGCCACTACCAGCATATTTCAAGCTAAGTGCCCAGGCCAGTCCAGTGAAGACATTGAACAGCGGCACATATTTGCTGTCGATTGTCCGATTCGTCAGCATGTGATCCAGTGCAGCCTTTGAACGATTCTTGTAGCATGTTGGAAGATTGTCCTGTATCCACCCTTGATCATAAGATGGTCCTCGAGCTTCGATACTGTCCCACATGATGACATGCTTGGCCATTGATCGCAGCATGAGAACGTCCGGTCTGACTTGATCGAATTGTGCTTCGGAGTCAGGGATGTCGATCTTGTTGGCTATGGCTTGATCGCCAGACTTCATGTAGACCATTGCAAGTGCCATCACCGCTCCAGCCGTAGCTCGATCGAACACATGGACGGCATTGACGGGGCGTGGGCCGACTGCCATCGCGAGAAGGCGTTCGGGCACTTGCATGCCGTGCAGGCCCCTCAGATCACGACCCTTGGCCAGGTTGATGAACCCAAGAGCGAAGCCTGCGGCGAGGCGGTAGCATTCATCGCGAAGCGGATCTGGGCCGCTATCCGGATCTTCGACTTCCAAGTACTCAATCTCCGACAACATTACCTCACTCATGCGACGATGTTGTGTGTTATAGTAGAGCAGACCAATGCCCATCAGGCCTGCAGTCTGCGTGGCAGGAGACACGTTCAGCTCTGCAGCTCCAGGCGGAAGCATTTTGGTGATGTGGACTGAAAGCATGCGTGTAATCAGCCCATCCATTGTGCCGATATGCGAAGCTGAAAGACCAAGCAGCAACCCCACGGAAGTCATGGTGTGCTTTGGTGTGAGGTACTTGAATGACAACCATTTCGCCATATGCCGCAAGTGGCCACCCACTCCGAGAGCGAGCAGAAAGCCAGCATGCCGATTTGTGAGCTCTAACGGCTTGTTGAATGCGATCCAGGATGTGTCGATTCCTTTGACGTTGCGTGAGATCCGGAGCCCAGCAGAAGCGCCGGCATGGAAGTACGCCCAATTCACCTTCTCTTCGGTCAGTCCGCTTCGATCAGCGGTCAATGTGTGTCCCATGGGCTGCATGATGCATGACGAGCTGAAACCCGGCAGATGAAACTTTTCGGTCAGAAGCGGCGTCTGACTATCAAAATGCAGCATGCCATCTCCAGCGGGCAATGCAATCATCCGAGTGGTGACGAAATACATGACTTGGCGCTGACGCTCAAAATGCGCTTGTTCATCCCACTCCGGCTGCTTCGGACAATGGCCGATCTGCACCGTGTTGAAGTGCATCAGACTCGTGGCTTCCACGAGTCTTCGATCGTCACTGAAGATCAGCTGCGAGATCGCGTGTCGCCCAGCCTCTCTGGTTTTCGCATGCAGGCTTGATTGTTCCAGCGAGTGGCAGATGGATTGCACATCGTGGCGCTCTGTAGCCGAAGCGCTTTTCATGGCGTTGGCTGAGCTGGATGCACGCCCCTTTGTGGTGAGATCCTCCCGGCCAACGAGGCGTAGCAACTCATCCCGCCAGGTAGTTGGCGGCTGCTTTTCGCAGCAAGCGATGGCTTCCCGGAAGGGCGCAGCAATAGCTTCGGGCAGAGTCTCGAGCATCTCAGAAGTAACACGCTTCTGTGCAAGAAGCTCGACTGTTCTTGCCGGCGTTGTGATCAGTCCACCACTCCCAGCAAGTAGCTCTGACAGCGCTACGATTCGTGGCGTCAGCTGTCTCGCGGTGTGCTCTGAGACTTTTGGGACAATTGCATCGGTTCCCATTTGAGCGATTTCATAAAGGGAGGGATAGCGCTCCGTTGAAGCGTGCTGAAGAGTGTGCTCAAACCACTGGAAAACAGTGACTGGCGTCTCCATTGTGCTTAGGCGCGGTGTGTTGCTTGGCATCGACTGGATATATGCCCAGCTGTCCTCATTTGCGCCTTGTAAACAGTATGCTTGCCCTGCCTCATAGCTCCACTCACGCAGACCAAGCCACGATCCAAGCTGAGCAATGACTGGCGGGAGTGGCAATCGCGTTGGATCTAAAGTGCAAAGGATTTGCTCTTCTCTGAAGACATGCAGAGCAAGCATGAGCCTGGCCGCTACGAGTGTGGCAGATCCTTCATCAAATCGCTCTTCCTCAGACCGATTTGAAACCATGTCTTCTGCTAGAACGGCCGCCACGATGAGCAGCTGGTCCTTCCTGTTATCAAGGCTGCGCGGAGACAGCTGACTTGTCGGGAGTGTAGTGGATGGCAGCCAAGACCACACAGAAGAGGAGAGTGTGGAGCTTCTGTGGCTCGCCTTTTGCAGGCATACCTTCGTGCTTGTCGCAGATTTTGCTCTCCCCAAAGCCACTTTGGAGAGGTTGATGGCAGCGCGAGCCTTTGAATCCAAGATACCGAGGACAAAGGTGAATACCGTACTCACAGTAGCCACGAAATCAGCGTCGCTGCTTGTGCCAGCCATCATATTGGGCTGACATTCTAGCCGGGCACGCGCAACGCACCAGGTTTTGCGCACTGCTCTCGCTTGGCTTTTGGGCAGCATGAGCTCGCATAAAGTCAATATTTTCCTGGCCGACAGATGTCGCGGCTGAAGTCGCAACCTCCTTCGATGCTTCACACCGTCTGCGCCAACTTCGTCAAAGCGCCCTTGATTCCCGATGTGCTCGAAGATGACAGGTGGTGAAGGTGCGTTGACTGTCCTGTTCTTGCCAATCTCCTTGGGTTCGATATCGAAATTTCCAAATTCAAGAGGATCGTAGACCCTGTAAGAAGCAGGCTGTGGTAAAGGACATGGTTTTTGCTCATCAAGAGAGAATTGTACCCCACCGTCACCCAGTAGCAGAGCGCGTACCTGGCCATCGCGAAGCTTGGCAATGTCATCGCAGTGCCCCAATCTGTTTTCGCCAGTGAGCATCGGAATCGCGATCGTAGGTGACTGAGACAATTCCGGCCATATCTGTCGATATTTGATTTTCAATGCAACGTATTGGAGCTCCCTTGTCTGACGGTCGTGAAGGTACAATCTGACTCGAGTATCGTCGGTTCCATTGATTGACGGGCTCTCTGACAAGGTGGCGACCTTGTAGCGAGATGTCCGAGCGTCAGGAGAGCCGAACGCAGAAGACCTCAAGCCGACTGCGAATGAATGTATCTTGCGCACGATCAACTCGCGCTTGAAGCCCTCTTCCGTGCTGCCAAAGACGTCATCGATGCCAGTGGTATCGTATGTTGCACGAATGTGTCGCAGAATGCCATCGAGGCTCTCCTCGGGATCAAATTCGATCGTAGTGTCCAGATCCATGCTATCATCCTCCCCTCCTAGACTTTGTCCATACACGCTTCCTGGCGTCGATCCGCGGCTCTTGCGGACGCTGAGAGATCTCCGACCATGCTCGCCTCCGAAAGAAGTCACTCGTCGACCGCCAGTACCCGCAAAGCTGTTAACCGTATTCTGACTTGCACGCACATCTGCGTTAATGGAGCTGACTCGCCGATTCTCTCTTGCTGGCTGCTGTGTTACAGCTGGTTGAAAATCTGGATCCATCTGGGAAGCCATCACAGCTTCCTCTTCCTGTCTCGTCTGCTTTCTTGAAAGACCTGCGCCCTGAGAGCCCAGCGGCTCACCTTGGGAATTGGTCAGCCCAGCGCCGACAAAGCTCTCGCGTGGTTTGTCACGCGGTCTGATCGCAGGTGTTGTAGAGCCAGTGCCAACGTTGGCGGTGATGAAAGAGCTTCTCCTTCTGGCTTTGACGGCTTTGTGTTCTGCACGCTGCTTGAGCAGTACTCTCAGCGACTTTTCGTCCTTATACCACATGTGCCACAGAGTAACGGTGTTGATGTCATGATTTGCGGTGACCAGTAGACCGAGCTGGCTTGTCTGGGCAGAGCCGCCCTGAGGAATCTCATCTTCGGCCGAAACATAGATGACATTCTCACCGGGATCTAAAGCTTCAAATTCCACACTCAGCTGGGTCTTGCTTGACAGGCGCGGCTTGTGGTGCTGCACAGAATAAGTGAGCACGCCCAGGTCCGATAGAGGGCTGGTCAGCGAATAGAGATTTGTCACGTCTTCGTCACTTTCTCGGCTAGGCGCGACAATGGTACTTTGAAACAAGGCTTCCAGCCCATTGTCACCACCGAGTCTGCTGGGCTGCGCAGGTCGAGTACTCGGCAAGGCCTTGGAAACAGTGGGCGACTGCAGGTGCGACTGAGATTGCTGAAGTTGTGAAGAGCAGAAGGAGTTGGGCGGAGCATTTGGCAGCATTGGCGTGGGTGGTAAGGAGATGGGAGCGATTCGCTTTCTCTGAAGGATGACGCCTCGTGATGCGGCAAATGCTCGCTCCACCGCAAAGGGCAGATGGACAATGTGACTGGCTCCGTGGAGAAAGTAGATGTGGGCCTTGGTGTTCAGGAGAACGACCAGTGCTCTCGCCAAAGTCTCGTCCGGCGGTGGTTGAGCTTCCTCTCTGCGGAAGTCGTCGAGGGATGTGGATAGACGGATTCGCTTCCGCGGAGTGCGAGTAGTGCCTGATATCTTGGGAGCGTCTTCTGCGGCCACCTTGGAGGAGGAGGAGGAGGGAAACTTGGCGAAAAGGGCTTGCTTCACATGCTCGCCCTCCAAGTCAAAGCGGTAGACATTGCGAATGAATTTCCCCTGCGACCAGGCGACGGCGTTCTTGGTCGCGAGAAGCTCTTCCTCGATCTCGTCGTCGCCGTCTTGTACGACATGCGTGTCCCACTGGTATTCATGCTGCGTGGCGTCGTGAGGCAAGATTCCTTCCGCGACCAGGTATGGTAGTGCCGCAGGACTGTGCACGCCGAGCGATGTTACGGCCGCCATCTGTCCTATGGGAGACTGACGTGCCTCGGAGCATCTTCTCTTGGCCTTTGCTCGCAGAAATATCAAGATTGCCGGGGTGTTGGACGTGGTGGTGGTGGTGGTGATGTGAGGTCCGTCAAACCCCCACCAAAGTTTGACGCGCCGTTTGTTTGCACAGTCGCGTCCACTGTCCGCTGCAGGCCCAGAAGCGGCCTCAGCAAAACCTTGGCAAAAGACCATCGACAGCGACAATCCTGGGAGAGGAGACTGTGGAAATGGCGTCGCCTCTGCAGACGCGGGTGACGAAGCGGGAGAGGAAGCTCCATTTGAGGTATGAAGTGGTTCTATTGCACTGCTATGCCTTCCTGCATGCTGACTACTGCTTCAACGTGCTACAGCTACGAGCTCTCGCACCGCATCCACTGCTCACTCATCTCGCCTCTGACTGCCCCCAATGGCTCGACCCTGATCCTCTATGGACTCCAGACGGGACTGCGCATACTATGGCGCGGCGGACGACCGCGGCGGCGGAGACAGGATGCCGCAGCACATATCAATGGCCACGATGCCGCGGGCACGGTCGATTTGCTAGATGACGATGAATTCGAAGAGGACGAGGAAGAGCAAGATCCCGACTGTCCACATCCGAGCATCATCCAAGACCTCGATGTCGCTTTCGGAACTGAGCGAAAGCCTGTGGCCGCTCTTCACCTGGCGACCATTTCAATCACGAACAACACAGCCGCACCGCATGTCCTCAAGAGCAGTGCCGTCGTGGCCGCTTCTTCGAGCGACGGCAAGCTTAGAGTGCTTCAAATTCCGCTCATGCCCCCCGCCGATGATGCGAAAGAACAGGCTAGGGGTGAGATCGTGAGTTCTGCTATCGACCTAGATCTGGGCACATATCACATCACCAATCTGCCTGCAAGTTTAGCAGTCAAATTCCTTGCCCACGAGCACCAGCGATCAAATGCTCTAATTGCCCCGAATCACGATGTGGAAGGATCTCTGCTGGTGGTGAGCGCGGGCAGAACACTCCGCACCTGGACTATTCCCGTGACAGCAGATGCTATTCTGGGGGACGACATCAACAACCTTGACAAGATATTTCTGCCGTCGCCCGCCGTCAGTGTCTCGCTGCATACATCGCCGCGCTCCTCTCAGCTGTTGCTCGTCGACGCCACGTCTGCTGTGCGAATATACGAGCCTCTAGCGAGCCCTGCTCCGCGGCGAAGACCTGGCTCAAGCGATTCGACACCCCAGCTACCGACCACAGTATTAAAGCCAGGCGGGTGGATTACCAGCTTCCATCCTGCCTTTCAAGCGCCCAAAGATGCCTCAACTATCAGTGCTGCCTTCGCTCGACGGAAGAAAGTGTTGGACGCGAAGTGGATTCTCGGCGGCAGAGCGGCTCTTGCCTTGTTAGAAGACGGCGAGTGGGGTATATGGGACGTCACGTCTCCGCCAAAAGGCAAGAACGTAGAAGTCTTTGCGTTGAACGGATTCATAGACACAGCAGCAAGGGCAGAAACAGCAGAACCTGCAAAGCAAAGACAAGGCGCGGCACGTCTCGCTCCATCAACGCCAAATACCCGCAAAGCCAAGCAAGAGCAACTCTTCTCCGGCACCCCTAAAACTACTTCACATGCCACCCCACGTGGCGGCATTTCTGTTTCTCCATATAGCATCAAAGCTGGTGCGGGAGACGAAAGTGTGGTCATCTGGTACAACAACCAAATTTACTCCATCGCCAGTATAGGACGATTCTGGCAACAAGGCACGAGCGGCGGACTCTATTCCTCCAGTCTTACCCACATCCCGGAGGTCAACTTGATGCAGGAGAACATCACCAGTATATCACAGTTTGCGTCCAAGACCGCCGGCTCTGGAATTGGATCGATGAATACTCCACGAGATTTGCTCGTCTCGGCCGAACATCGCGCGATCATTTTACAGAGTACACCTCCACCTACACCAAGCCGGCAGCTATTCCACGCTGCGGAAAGACCAGCTTCACGAGATCAGCAGATGCTTGACTCTGGAGACCTAGACCTCGACGGGATCGACAACATGCTTGACAGCATGGCGGCACCCGCGAGACGAGTCGGCTTTTTAAGTCCTCTTGCATGAACGCGCTCTACCAACATGATACCCCGAATCCAAGCAGTTAATTGTATCCCAGTCCCAGTCACTTTCTTTCTACTGCTCGTTATTACATTCGCGTGGTAAGGTGGAGCGCTTCCTCAAGGCCAATGAGATGTTTGCTCAGTATTGCACGCGATAGATTGATGTTACTGTCCCAGTCCATGACAAGTCTGCTTGCAGATGTAAATGGACAGCTCGGCCTCGGTCGACCTGAGATGCTTTCAAAACGTCTCGATCACGGTGAGCCGTTTGCGGTGTCGGGTGGGATGGTCGAGCGACTAGCTCATTATCAACGTTACTGCGACGGAACTTCTTTGGTGTCGCAATGACTATGAGAGCATTGCTACATTCTCTGTCTTCGATTCATGATGTGAGGTCGTTCCCGCCAAAGACTGCGCGACGCATTGCTCCTCGCATTCTTTTCACTCACATGAAGTCTACTACCCGAATGGGAAGGCACCTTTCGCAAGGGGACCAAGAACCCTTCAGCAAGATATGACCGTGTCTCTGGCCTCGTCGATGAGCGTGATTCTTGACCTGCCCATTCGTCCAGTGCATTGCCTTGCGTTTTTGTGCCATTCCGGTCACGAGGACCGCTGATGTTGTGTGGATCAGAAAAAGGCCAGATGTAGATGCATTGTGTTGGTGAGAGGATCGCGTGCCAGATGCTTGGCAGCTTTGTGCCACCCTTTTCTTTGTTTGCCCGTGATCAAGCTTTCCTGGCCCGGCCTTCAAATCTTGCGCAATGTACGATGCTTCCTTTCGATGTGAAAGACCGCCATCTGCCCCATGGAAAAACTCCCACACATTGTTGTCTGACAATCCCGTCATGGAAGAAAACATCCGAGAACGCTCATCTGCAGCTTCTCTCACGAGCGCCCATCTTGAACAACATGCCTGAGACAGGCTATTCTATTCCCATGCTCAGAACGCATCGAGGACATCGAGGCACCCTGGCACTCGTCGAGCGGCTGCCGAAATGAGCACCAGCATTTGCGTGCAAGTACTGGCAGACTCCCCGTAGAGAAGCAAACCGGTGACGCCGTGCTCTCGCTCCTGATCACCCAATCCGTGTTTTACGCCCTCAAAAGTGCTCAAAGACAGCATGCCCTCCACCGGGCTTTCATATCGTCTATGGCTTTGCCTATTACTTATCGCATCTTTAGGAAGTTCAGCCCATGAAGCATATCATGAGCACCACAGCAACAATCTCAAGCACTCGGCTCAGAAACGCCTTGAAACCCGCCAGCTTCCCGACTTTGCGCAACGAAATCTGAACACGATCCGCAAGATCTACGACTTGACAGTTTATCCATACAATGCTCCAATACAGAATCAAGGCGGGTCGGCAGTGCCTGCTGGTCTGTTCGCTCAGAACACGAGGGGCCGAGTATCGCCAGTGGGAGAGTTCGAGGGATTTGAAGATTCCATCGAATACTTTTTCGCACTTGCGCCTTCGCCGTTAGACCCCAACTTTAGGGGCTCTGCCATATGGGAAGCTCAGGTGGTGGAATTTACGTCCGGCTGCCCAGAAATAGCTGCGAGTCTAGTATATCTGAGGACTGGAAAGGTCGACGCCAATACATATGAGGTGGACACGAGCCAGCCTATGAGCACTCTATCTCAGGTGAGTGAGAAGGCACCAGAAAGCATTGGGAGGTGCTGATGAGCGTGTGCCAGGTGGCCTTTTGGCAATTCAATGCACAGGGTCAAGTGGAACGATACCATGCCTGGATACCGAACCTCCAAGCCTGGGTCTATGCGCAGACTGGCTTCGACTTCAGCTCTTACCTCCTGGGAAAGGCTGTGCCTCTATTCCTCTGCCCTGAGATCCAAGAACGATGCACTGGTGCCAACCAACAGTATCTGGACGTCTTGACCTGTACTCTTGAGCTCGATCTCAAGCCATTCGGGAGCTTCGATGAAGCATATGGTGATACTGTGGCTTGTCGCATCATTCATCTGCTGCTCACCAAGGTTGCTCCTGATGTGCATTGCCCTCACGTAGGCCCGACCGGCGGAGGGAAATGCAGTCCGATTTCTTATAGCAAAGACTACTTCGACGACGGTCGATTATTCGGGGTCCCAACCGGCAGTGCTTTTACCTGTGGTGCACCATTAATCTCACCAGATCAATACCGCAGTATGGACCATGTCATTCCGCCTCCCTACCAAGTGCAGGGCCGCCCACGACCGCAAGAGCAGCCCGGTGCCGAGAATGCTGCGACCAACAATCCATTGAACCCTCTTCTCGCACCCACCTCAGGACTATTGCAAGGAATCGCGCCACAGAAGCTGCCATCTCTGGATTCATTGACGGACTCTTTATCAAGCTTAGGAGGCGGAAACATTTTGAAGGAGTAGAGTGCTATCGAGGCAATATTTGTATTTCGAGACTGCAAGAGTGCCAGACTGCGCTGTAACACTTTGTGCTCATTGAGAGTATATCAGGGACCAGACCGAGTGAAGTGCGGTAATGTACTACTGCGTCAAAATTTAAGAGCTCAAGATGTATATGCAGAAAAGACATGACTGCAAATGAACGTGCATAATCCTGTAGGCCTCTCTGTTACATGCGCTGTCCTGCAGCTCCCCCATCACCACCTCAACCTTGAAGATAATTAATCCGCCAATGCTTCTCAGTAGAGCTAAATCCCGACTCACATTCTCACCAGTAAAACTCTGCATCAACCCAGCCACAAGACTTCCACAACAATACTTTACCTCTTCCACTCCGAATTCTTGCTTTCGGCATCAAATTGCACCATCACCGTCTCAGGAAAAAGTCTTAAGATATTTTCCAAATACATTTAAGATGATTCCGCATTTCGCACATTATCTTTCGTGTCTCTCGTGGTCGACCATCTGACTTAGGACACGTCGTTGGATAAGTTGAACCCATCTAACGCCGCGACAGGACTGATGAATGTGGCTCGCATGTTGATGGGATGGATTTTTCATGTGGTGCTTCAGTGAAGAATGGTTGAAAGGAGGCTTTTGGGGGGAGGAAAGGCTGAGGTGAGGAGGATGGAGTAGAAGTATTCTACTCTAGGGTTTGCTGGAAGTCTTCTTCCACCAAGGCAAGAAATCCGCATAAGGAGGTGACATGAAATGGGAAATTGCTCATGGTGATTCGTGTTCTCTGAGCAGAATTTCCATACCTACCATAAAGTCACCCACCAGTCCTATTCTCACATCTATCCCAGCCCTTGCCATCAAAAAAAAACTCCAACTCCAAATCTTCCATCATGCATGTGCCTCAAAGTCCAGTTCTAAACGGGTCGTGTATGTATCCTCACATCTCAAATCCCATCTCGTAGTGCTCCTGTGAATGCTGTCTGTCGGTCTGTCTCGTTTGCTTCTGTCGCTTGCTTGCTTACTTGCTTTGTCCATCACATATTCTCCCAACTCCTCCCCTTGCGGTAGTGTTTAGCCGGATCAGCTGCGGTGAAGCTATTGACGCTATCGTGTCTCTTCAAAGCGATGCGAAGCAGTCCGTCCGTCGATCTCTCTTGGTCGCGTTGCTGGAGTTTCTTCTGTTTGTGCGTATGACGAGATTCGCGCGAAAGATGGAAGCGGTCGATTAGTTTTGCCATGGGATTTGCCATAGCTTTTGCTCGCGCAGGTGGTTGGTGTTGGATGTGGTCGAATCTGGGAACTTTGGCTGGGTGAGTGGATTTGATAACCGGATGACTTTCGGGGTGAAATGAAGTTGGGTGGTGTTCCAAGCATGTGACACTGTGCGACGCTCTGACGCAGTTTCTGCCAACCCTGGTTCGCCAACTGACGAGGCGAATTCATTCACTTTCAAAACAAGCTCTTGCGGCTAACGGAACTTTATTCTCCACTGCCGTTTGTGACAGGGGTCGTCACTAGTCCCGTCAACGGTCTCCACTATGTAGGCACGTGAGCCCTAGCAATGCCGGCCTTGTACCTAGGAGTCCACTTGGCGGAACCACACCCACATTGCCGTCACCGACTTGTCCTTCGCGGTGCAGGGAATCTTTCGTCGGATAATGCCCCAGAATGAAGGACGGCTGGGATGGAGAAGGGGCGGAGTCTTGGCGGTTCTTATCAGTGTAACTTAGTTTGGGAGCAGATCATGTCCAGGTCGTCTTAAGGTTGTGGGAAATGGCAGAGACAGATGTCGCCAACGGCCAAACAAACGGTCACGCCAATGGCAACGGCTATGGCGTTCAGCGTGATCAAGTCGCCATCGTGACCGGAGCCACAGTAAGTGATGACTATGCACTTCCAGGAGGCATGAGCTGATGATGGTTTTTAAGTCTGGCATCGGCATTGACCTCGCAAAACATCTACACTCTAAAGGATGGAAGGTAGCGCTCGTTGGCCGTAACAAGGAAGCTGGACTCCGCATCGTCTCCGAGATAGAAGACCCTAAGAATGCGCGTTTCTTCCAGACGGATGTGGCCAGCTATGATTCCCAGGCATCCATGTTCTTGTCCGTTTGGCAGACTTGAGGTAGGATCGATCTACTGTGTGCCAATGCCGGAATTGTAGACAGTTCCAGCATCTACATCTACTCGCACAGGGACAAAGCGGTGGAAGACATCCCTCCAGGTCCGGACCTGTCTTGCACCGACATCAATTACAAAGGTGTCATTTATGGTGTGCAGCTGGCGACCCATTTCATGAGGAATAATCAACCCCAGGCCGGCGGAAAGATCATCGTCAACGGCAGTATTGGAGGCATTTTCCCCCACAGGGTCTTTCCAGAGTATTGCGGTACGAAAGCAGGCGTCATTCAATTTGTGCGAGGTGTCGCACCACTTCTGAAGGCCAAGGAGAACATTCTGATCAATACCGTCCTATCCGGTGCGGTCGCCACACCCATAGTACCACAGGGACTGATGGACGCCATCTCGGAAGAATGCCTCACGCCAGTCTCCACGGTTCTAGAGGCTCATGACAAGTTCATCGATGATGACACGGGGGTGATCGGCAAAGCTTTGGAGGCATCAGCAAAAGATCTCATCTTCTATGAAGCCCCAGAGTACGGCAACGGCTACAAGACGAAGAGAGCCGTGCCAGTATGGGAGCCACATTTCAGAGCCATGCATGGCGAGGACTCGAAGTTGGATGATGCTGTTGCATAGGCGCGATCTGACGTCTATTCGTGAGCCTGATGAAGTCGTAGAAACCTAGTCGTAGTCTTTGATAACAGCTCCTTTCTGCCTTTCTGGGTCGGTGGCCTCCATGATTTGCCTCATAGCATCATCACAAAAGTCCAGAATAGGTCGAATATAGATATTATCGAGATTGATCTCGACAGCCACACCGTACAAGTTGTCTGCTGCGACTCTTACGCCGTTGCTGTCGACAAGGCCCTCGCCAGACGACCAGACGGCTGCTGATGAATACGTCTTGGAAGACTGCGGCCAGCTCCTGGTAGTTCGTCACATCGGCCTTATGGGCAACAAGTTCTGGCGAGTCCTTCGTGACTTTTTCTATGTGATTCGGGCTGAAGTCGACGATATGGACAGTCCAATCCTTCCTAGCTGCCAAGTCCTTTGCGACTGCCAGGCCCAAGCCCGAAGCTTGAGAAGAGTCCGCTGGAACACGTTCTCCAAAGAAGTCAACCTACCACCACCGGTGATGATGGCGATTTTGCGTTCCTCCATTATGCTGCCTTCATTCTGAAATCGAATTTGATACTGCTTCGCTCAGATCTCACATGAAGCTATTGCAACTAGAATTCGGCTGGGCCCACTTCGGCTGCCAATACTAGCAGCATGCAAAACCGCCAGTGCATTGCAAGGGTGTTCTTGGACTGTCATCGATACCGTAGCTGGTGCTCCGGCACAAGTCCTCATTCGAGCGCGTTTCTGTGCAGCATGGAGTGATCAGAGATGTGTACCATTGTCTCCATTCACCCATCACGGTCGCTATGATTCCAAGAAAGTTCTCATATCAGTGTCGCTTCCTGAGTGCGATAGTTATCTTCGGACTGTCTCCCGTTCTCGTTCAAGATCGACCGCGATGCGGTGCATGAAGTGGAGAGCAGCAGATTGAAGAAAAGACGGCTCTGCCCAGGTGCCGGGGCTTCACTTGCCTGCCTGTCACAGGTGGCTCGTGCGCTACACAAGGTTCATACCGCGGCCCCGAAGCCAGCCGCAAGCTTCTCAAAATCACGACCTGCGTCTTACGCGTTGACCGTTCTTCTCTCTCACCACTCATCGACTCTGGCAGAATCGCTGGCTTCTGAGCAGCGCTGCGAGCGTGTGCTGATAACGATGGGTTTCCTTACTGGTGCCCTCTTGCGGCGTTTGCTAGACTCGCCTCGCAAGGGGATGAACTTGGGCCTTCTTTCGTAGTCGTGCGAGCGAGTCTCACGCAGGCACTCGAACCGCTGATGCATCGTGCCCAAGTGTTCGCTTGTGCCAGGCGTATGGCCCTGAAGCGATACGCAAAAATTCACCAAGATGGTGGATTCGAGATCCTCTGCCACTCTGCGGGCTCTTCGTCGCTGCCGTTGCAGCCGAAATGCCTTCTCAATCAGCATTGTTCACTGAAGTCTGGACGGAATATGGAATTTCCATGGCCTGTATCCTTCTGCGCTTCTTTGCAAGATGGAGAGTCTTTGGATTCAAGGCCTTCGACCTTGGAGATGCTTTTGCCGCCCTGGCTATGGTATGCTCGCCTGCAACGATCGACAGGAATGCCGCTAACTCGTCTACCAGATATTCTACTCCATTGAGACTGCTGGCATATACCTGCTGACCAGTTTTGGAAACAACATCGGCTTGAATGCGCAGACTGCAATGGAGGTCCCTGATACGAAAGTCCCGGACTTCACCTTGGGATCGAACCTGGCCTTTCTAAACTGGTTCTGGTATATCAATTTGATCTGGAGTCTCAAAGGCATTTTGCTTGTGGTATACGTCAAGCTCGGGTATCTAAACGATTCCGCCAGAATCTCCAGAAATCGTCGCTGACTTTGAGCAGGGCTGGAGTAGCACGGCAAGAACTTCTGGTCAAGGGAGTTTGCGTCTTTAACTTCTGTACCTGGCTTGCGTGTATCTTGACGCATACGTTAATCTGCACACCACCTCATAAGAGCTGGCAAATCAAGCCATATCCGGGCGACAATTGCACCGTGCGGAAGCCGAACTACTATGTGATTGCTATACTCAATAGTCTCACAGACCTGGCCATCATCGTGGTTCCCATGCCTTTGCTATTCAAGGTGAAGGCGAAGCTATCAAAGAAGCTCATCTTGATCGCGCTCTTCTCACTCGGATTCTTCGCCATCATCGCAACAATCCTGCGAGCGCACTACTCTCTACACTCACCAGATACCCTACCTATTGCCCTCGGATGGGCAAGCTGAGAGACTTTTGTCGCTACCATCGTCGCCTGCGCGCCTGGAATCAAGCCAATGTTCAGCACCAGCAAGTGGTACAGATCGAGTTCAAACGGATCTCGCGACAAGCTCTCGCGCGAGCCAACGAGCAAGTTTGGCTTCCCAGCCAAGGCTAGTAGTGGCAAGGTTGTCGATTCCAGCATAGTTGTCTCTCGGTCGGTATATGTCTATCATTCGGACAATGATGGACGCCCCGGAGACTATGGGTTCGAAATGGGCGGCTGGAGAAAGAACGCTTCGAGTTCTGGGGAAAGCGATGAAAGAGTGATGATTCAACAGAAGCGCATACTTCAGCACAGAGCAGGTGGCAAGGACCAAAGATCAAGTCTGAGCTCGACTGTGTAACATTCAAGACTTGGGTTGTTTGCGTGGTAAGCCTTACCGCGATGACTCTCGTCTGATGAATAAATTGCATTAACCATCCTATCTCACGCTACAGATTCTTTCCATAGGATATGGCCTCTCCTTCTGGCCTGTGCCAGTCCTAGCTGCAATTGGAGGCGAAGTTTGCGCAGACCTGGGCGACCCCACGGCATACGGCTGGTACGTCTCTGCTTGGACGATTGCCATCACAGTATCCTTCCTCTGGTTCGGAACTTTAACAGATCCAACCAGATTGAAGTCTTCTTGGAGAATGATCGTCTGGCTGAGAGGAACAAATTCCATTGAGTACAGGACGGTATGTAAGTGCCTCCGTGACATAGCACATCACATATTAAATCACAGCCGTATAGCCACTTCCGAGCCCTTTGGGTGAAGCAGAGACCTAGTGTGTTGCCGCAATTCGTAGAAAGACTTGATCTGAACTTCTCGGACGATTGATGATTGTTGATGCCTTGAAACCAGGAAGAAATCGATACCATGGCGTAGGCGACTGCCGAACGCAGTCGGACCTTTCCAGAACTTCTAGAGGATTCGGGAACCAGCCAGCAGTCAGCCTTATCGCGGCGATCGGATGGCGAAATTGAGCAAGATCGGCATGAGAAAAGGAAAGCTTCATGCTCGTCATTTGTTCGTCAAAAGATATCCTTCGGCCGAACATGTCCAGCATGTCCTTCAAACCACGATCGAAGGCTGCCAATCGGGCTGCATACATTATACATGTAATGTGCATAGCTCCCACGTTGACCAAAGCCGATCGGCCAGTGCCGTCAAATAGCGATGTCTGCTCAAGGAACCGGTCTTGCCTCGCCTCCCCAGCGACTGTCGAAGCCATGCTCTACAGAATGGTCGGTCCAAAATGTAGAATGTCAAACTTCTGTGATGGATGCCTCGGATTCTGTGTGCAACTGTGTGTAATCAGATTTGCGGCAATTCTCGTAGCCTCCGTATACAATCTAGGATTGACCTGATACATATGCAAGAAGACAATGGATCTTCCTAGTACTGAGCCTTTCTCGGGGAAAGTTCTTCCTTTGACAGCTGCAGAATCCTGATAACGTCAATGACACAGAACGAGACATGTACCAGTCAAGCATCATTTGGAACCACTGGCTATCAATTTATCATCGTTCACAGCAGTCCACCTCACATGTAGCGGTGTAGCACTATCAACCCCAGTGTCCTAATATTGTTACACAACATTCGCGTGGAAACACGCAACAATGTTCCAATTCGCGCACACTCCCCAGCATACAGTTTAGCGCACATAGTCTGACTGAAACTGGGTCAAGTATTGAATAAAAGCTGCAGGTATCGCATTTCTCCGATACAACACGCTCAACTACCATAGGTGAGAGCTGACGTGTTTTTCGCGGTCGCGTTGGCAGGAATGCAAGCGGTGCGAGGATCTTCCTTGTATGAAGCCTTATTCAAGATCCTTTCGCCGGCGTCTCAAATATCCCACTTACGAGTTCATGCCCAACTTTCTTGAGTAACATCATCAATCAGCCGTTTGCTGCCAGAATTGAAAGAGAGAGAGAGAAAAATCATGCCTTCCACTCCGGCGTTGAGTGCCGCTGGGCTCTCATTCCTGGATTTGAGAACTATCATCAAAGTAGATATCGAAGCGTCTAATGAAGTGCAAACACGAATCGATCGACTCCGTCGCGACTTTCAAAATGGCAGAAGACCGCCGGGGAAGGAGATTGAAGAGCTGGAACTGGCGAATAAAGACATGACGAAAGATCTCGTGCAGCGGATCGAGAAAATCGAAAATGCTGGACCTTTGACAGCCGCGGATCGGGAGATGTTGCAAGCGTTGAACGCTCGTCTCACAGTCTGCGATCGCCAAGGGATGCAGCTTACCGAGCTTCGCGATCTGGAAGCACATTTTGATGCCCGCGAGGCGGAACGGATGAGGAGGGAGAGCATGTACCAGAGCCCATTGCCGCTGGGAGGTGCACCGCGAAAGCCGAGCGTTGTCAATACGGTTCAGCAACCGGCAGAGTCGAATGTACTTCCTCCTCCTCCTCCTCCACCACCTCTGCCCTTTACGCCACCGTATACTCCGTCATTCCCACCTCGGCAGGGAGGCATCTCCTTCACATCGTCATCTTATGCTCGTCCGTCTTCGAATTCGCCACGCTCGAGCGGGATCAGACTCGACGAGCTGAATGATCCCAGCTGCAATCCGCCTTCTCATGTGGACCCGGTTCGTGGCAATCCTCGCAGAAGTAAATCGCAACGTGATATGCCATACTCCTCGTCCAGTTCCGCGGTATATGGAGACCTGCGACGGAGTGTTCCAAACCTCGATCGACCAGATACCAGGCCGACACCTATGACTTCTGGCAGCAGCCAAGTATACGATGACCTTCGAAGAAGCGTCCCGAGCCTTGAGCGTCCAGATAGCAGGCAAGTTCCTTTTGCATCCAGCAGCAGTGCAATTTACGAAGACAGACGACGAAGCTATTCCACCCTGGACAGGGCAGAGCCAAAAATGGCACCAACTTCACCCCCCGTCAGCAACCCGATCTATAGCGATCCACGCACGAGCAACCCCAGCTTGGACAGAGTAGACAGCAAATACGTGCCTCCTTCACCACCGATGGGGAACCCCGTGTATGGCGACCCACGTCGAAGCAATCCGAATCTAGATCGTGCATCTGAAAGCAGATATATACCACCGTCGCCACCAATCGGACCAAGATCTGGCAGCTCTCGAAGCATCCCATCACCCAAATCTTCGCCTGCACGAAATCCTCCCACGCCAGCGCCAGCAATGAACAGCCTCCCAACACAACACCGCAATCCGAGCGTGGAAACGGTCGATAGCAAATGGACTCCTCCATCCCCGGGACCAGGAATAAAAGCTGGACCAAGCACTTGCATCCCCTCCGTACCTTCCGCCGTGCGTGCAGAGAACGCATACATCCATCCATGCAATTTCTCGACGACAAAAATCGAAAATCCTTACTTCCCCCCTCCCCCGACAGAAGATATTCGAGAAAGTCCATACTTCCCACCTCCCCCGACAGAAGAGCTGCCATACTCTCCAACTTCTGCGAGAAGACCTAGCTCGTGGGATTTCCCTTCGCAACCGGTTACTTCTCATCCCGCGCAAGATTATCGTCCACCGGCGGAACAGCAGGCTCGACGTGGGAGCAATAGATCGGGAACGGGGGAGTATCAGTTCTACTCGTACGCCGACTATTCTTCTGACGAAGAAGACGATTCCGAGTCCGTGGCCGAATGGGAGAAAACGCGATGGCCGTTGGCGTATCGCGTTCTCGATATAAATCCGAGTTTGGATCCGAGAAGTGTGCAGGAGGAAGCTATGAAGTATGAAGAAATCTCACTTCAAAAATTCAGGGAATCGGGTTGCTAATGTGAGATTTTTTTTTGTAGTGCACTCGCCCGACTCAGTTTGAAACACGATCCGGCACGTTTCCCTAACGATTCCGATGCACCCGCTCGATGGGCGGCGATTAATAAGGCTTTTGATGTTCTGGTGCATCCGGTCAGGAAGCAGAACTATGATATCCATGGGAATGAGCCGCAGGAGTTGAAGGAGATTGATGTGGAGGAATTGAAGATTATTGATGAGATGCGGTAGGTGCGGAGGTAATCGCTGTGCCAGTACATTGGTTCCAACAGGCTTGGATATATGGGTAGGTCTCTTTGGGTTTGTGAGCGTCAAGGTCTGTATGGCGGTTACATGTATGATTCGTTTGTTGAAGCTGGTGTGTAGCTTATGATGTGAATAATAAGCTTGGTGACAGGTACATAGGGAACATTTGCGAAATCGCTGATTGTCCGCGAGCTTGTGACGATGACGGTGTGACTCCAGAACGTGCGGTGCTTTCGAGCAAACTGACTTGATGGCAGTATATGAGGGATGTCTTGAACGACTGAGCACAGCGGACTGAGACCAGAAGTAGCAGACAAGTATGTCCTTCACAGGCAGCAGCGAGGTCCAATCATGGCGTGACGAGAGCGCGGAATACGATGACAACCATGGCGGAGAAGCGTGTATAGCGAATCTGGAGTACTTTGCTGCGGATTGCGAGGATAAGTTTCGGCATCGGCGACTTCGCTGTGGAATGCTATGTGCAATCTTCAACGCCTTGGCTGCGTGGGATTCACGGAAGGAGATGGCCAAAGCCTGGAATGAGTACGCAGATGCAGGAATTTGTGAGAGCTGCTGCTGATGTCGAGAAGTATTGTGAACACGCAAGGCGCTAGCGACGAGGACTTGGAAGCACCGTCCATCAGGGCACCGATCACAGTCGACTATGGCATCAGCGTGCGTATAGCGGCATCGGCATTCCTGAATCGTAGCTGCTGGATCTCAGACAGTCCGCTCCATCCAGTCACTATCGGCGAACGAGTGGCATTAGGCGTAGGCGTACACATATATGGAGCGCACCCAGTAGTCTACGAGGAACGAACGTGCCGGCAAGGACCGAGTGTGGCAGGACCAGTAGTGATTGAGGATGATGTTCATATTGGCAGCTATGCTGTGATCATGTGAGTACCCAATGGCTGCTTGAGCAGTCCTCGTTGCATGCCGGCTGCAGGATTTGCCGCATGCGGCCACGCTTTCTCACATGCCATGCTTGTCGAGCACGGCTGACCGAAGGAGCAGGCCGGGTGTCACCATCGGACGAGGGGCCGTAATCGCAGGCTCCGCCGTAGTAACGAGAAATGTGCCGGCACACTGTCTCGTTGATGGAAGCCCCGCGCGTGTCGCCCGAAAGCTGAGAAATGGGGTAGGGGAAGGCACGTGTGAAGGAGACCGGAATTCCAGCACCAGCACGCATAATCCGTCGGCAGCGATCCGCTCCCCCCGTATGGCCTCAGGCTTGCAGGTGGTGCCATCGAGAGACGGCGACTTTGCTTTCTCCAAGCGAACAAACAAGGCACAGCTCTTCTGCGACGTGCTCATGCTGAGCGTCGCCGTTGCCTTTCTACTATCCTTGGTACACAGCGTATTGGGATGAGCCAGCACAGTCTTCGAGACCACGCTAGACATGCGATGACATGTTGCGATTCATCTTGATCCATCGCTCCTGCCTGTGAAAGGGCAAAGATTTCACCGCACATCGTCAGCATCCTCCATCTCCTCCTCGACCACCTTCTTGTCCGTATCGGTGGTCAAGCCGACGGCGGCCTCCGCCTCTTTCTGGCTGTATGGCTCCTCCTTCAGCTGCTTGACGCGTCTCTTGTGCGGCTTGCCCTTCTCGTGAGCCTTGAAGTTGCTTTCGCTCTCAAACCATTTTGCGCAGTCGGTGCAGTAGAACTCGCCGAAACCGGGCAAGTCCTCCAACGCCTTGGTGTCTTTGTACTGTTGGAGGTGTTTTTGCGACTGCTTGTCGGCATGAATCTGATCGAGATCGCGCGTGTGTCGCCTGGTCTTCTTCTTCGAGCTGACGCCTCTGATTGCCGGCATCTTGTCAAATAGAGACCTTTAGCAGGAGGTGTCGCTGTCCAGTTCCGACGACAACTTCTGACTGATGGTTCACCACCTGTATCCACTGTATCCACTATATTATATATAGCCAATCGATTGTAATGCCGTAGGTCGTAATGCAATGAGTCTATTGCCAAAGGAGGTGGATATAGAAGCGGTATAGCGGCCTTAGCGATGGTAACTACCTTTCCTTATAATATTAAACCTTCTATCGATCGCTCTATAGTATACTAAATAACACCTCCGGAGGCTCTACCGCTGCCAGTATTGATACATCACAAGCTCTTAATGATGGTTAAGGTCGTACGAATGATGTTAGTAGTGTATAATAGCATAGAAGGTAACGTTAGATAGAAAATTCGAGTAGAAATTAGGCTTCGTAAGGGACTCGGAGGGATAGTAATAAGGCGGCTAGAGGACTCGATAGCAGGTAGTAGATCGCTCGTCTTCTTGTCCTACTAATTTGTTAGCGAATTGAGATTATTATAGCCTTCCGCAATACCTTCGTAGGTCGCTATCTCCCCTCCCCCTATCTACTACCTAGAGTTATCGATTTAGCGACTAGATCTAGTAAATACGCCTCTCCGGCATCTATGCCGCTACTAACTACTCTAGCAAGTTAGTTACGGCTATCTCTATTACCTAGACCTTCGCTATTAATTGAGACCGTAGAAACACTGTCTTAGAAGGGCAGTAGTAATACAGCTTACCTATTAAAGCTAGGCAAGCTGTCGGCTCGAATAGAGTTGGTTATCTTCTAGCAAATAAATAATATAAAGTATGCCTATAAGAAGGGCAATATTACTAACTTCTATCGGCTTATTAGAGGTCGTGTGAATGCGTAGGCTCGTACTAATAGTAAGAAGGAGTTTAGTAGTAATTCTAGCTTCCGATAGAGCTGCAATATTAAGTTAGTTAAGAGGGTAAAGGAACAGGCCGCTAAAGAGCGCTCTACTAGTATAGCGCCTAGTAACGATAACCTCTCGTAAGCGAAGGACTTCTTTATTAAACACGCTATGCGTATAAACCCTTAGCTCTTCGACAAGGTAGCGACAAAGGAATAGAAGGAGGCGGCTCGGCGTAAGGAGATCGTTGTCCGCGATAGTCTAATAGACAGGTTAGGCTCGAAGCGACGTCGATTAAATAGTAGCGGCTCTTCTTAGGCGACCTTTGCTAAGCCGGAAGAATCTACGCCTTCTATACCGTCGACGACTTAGCGGATGCGACTGCGCCGCCGTAAGCGTAACAACAACGCCTCGATTAACAGAGCGTTCTCGAAACTAAACGAATTGCTAAAACCGTACTTCGAGAAGATTAAGGAGAGCCTAACCGCCCTCAATTAGCACTATATTCGAGGCCTAACTAATAGTTAGAAGAACGAATTACAGCACCTTAATACTACTATTGTAAGTGCTATTATCTCTCTCTTAACTAGCAACTTACTGATATTAGCTAGACGGTAATAGGTGTGTATCCGGATTGCACTCGAGTGCTATTATAGGTTATCTACCGTAGGAAGAGTAAGATGCTAATGCTAGAGCTATTCGAGCGCTTACCGAAACTAGGCTTCTTATAGCAGATAGGGTAGTTAGATCGCTACGATTGGGATTAGAATGTGGACGATATTAAGGTCCCTAAGGACTTTTTCGACTCGGAGGAGTAGGTAGTAGTTATTATAGTATAGAGTTCGTTTTATAGGATTAGTTAAAGCAAATCCCTACTCATTTGTTAGCAATATTGCTCTTTAGTATCGATTTAGCGAACCAGTTGCTCCTACCGTTGCCTTGTTATTCTCTTAATCGCGAGATTATCGCTAGAAATTTAGGAAATAGGAGGAGAGGTAGGGTTAGTAGTATATAACTATTACTTAGTAATAGGTTAACAACATCGCCGAGACATTATAAGAATCGCGTACAGACGCTCTAGTCACCTATTTTCGCTGCTTTCTAGATATACACTAATAGCTCGAAATGTACTCGGTCCTATAGTACGAGTGCTAAGAATACCGTTAGAATTATAAAGCTATACTTTAACTTCTCGACATTATCGTCGTTCTTCTATTACTATCACTACTACTATCACTATCGCTACCCTCGTCTTCTATCGCCGGCGACGCATACCTATCTCCTTTATCGCCCTTATTACCTCGCTCTAGTCGCGGCGGCTACTATCCTAGCGGAAGAACCGTCGCAACGAGGGCTCTAATCTCGTTACTAATTTGAGCATTAGTCGCCCTCGAATAGAGGTATTCTTCTAACACCGGTAGATCTATGCGACCTATAGATACCTAGTTTCTATAATAGCAGGTATAGCAATTAGTAAGAAGAACGCACGCTCGATAGATGGACCTAATAGCCTGTAAGTCCGCCCTCTACTTAACTAAGTTAATCCGCTACAGATTTGATATCTGTCCGAATATATGCTCTATAGCAACCCTTAAAGCCGACATCTCCTAGTCTATCTGCCTCTATAGCGGCGTACGAGGTTGACTATTCTAACCTTTGAAAGCAGATATAATACTATCCGCTACTGCGTACGCCGAGTCGCTATAAATAAATACCTTATCGTCTAATCCGTACCTATCGAACAACGCGTGCTAAATCTACTAAATGTTAGATTTAAATACTATCCGAGAATCCCTAAAAGAGCTAGGCTTAGGACTATACAATAACGATAGCAGACCGTCTAGAGTAACAACCGCCTAGAATTTGATGCCGTATACTCTCTTATGTCCGCTATAGTACAACTTCTAGTTATACTTTGGCCTATAGTAGGGACGAAGGGTGCTATTAATAAATCTACACACTTTAGCAAGACTAACGTCCGGTTCTAATGCCTCTGCGCACCTCCGCAAATACTAAGGGGTTAACCGACGAGTGTCGAACAGCAATCTATCGCTAAAGAAGTCGTCTAAATACTTAAGAACAGTATTAAATATAATACTAATCTAGGTCGGCCCTCTGCTAAAGTCGTACGCTAGTAACTGCTAACTCGTACTGCTTGCTAATCGCTATAGAAGCACTAATAAGGCTTCTTCCTTAGTAGGTTCTATACGGTATAGCTACTTAATCTAGTCTAACTTAAGTAGCCGCACTAACCTATATAGGTCCTGCTTCTAGAAGCGAAATCTACGCTTACACTGATCGTTTGTTAGGTCCGCTAACCTTATCCTTTTAAGCCGATTATAATCGTCTAGATATAGGCTCCTTATTTGATCGCCTACGTACGCCTCGTCGGCCTCGTCGTCTACGATAATATCGACTACCGACTCGAGATAGGCGCTAGCCGCTTGTCCGACAACCACCTAGTAGTCCAGTAACAATTGCCTTACTTAAGCGTCTATTTTGAGCCGACAACAACACTACTATATACTAACTAAGGTCTACATTAAAGAGCTAGGGTTATATTACTATAGATACGATAACTAAGTAGCCAAGAGGTAGCAAAAGGAGGTTGCTAAAGGCCTCGGAAGAGCCGTCTCAGATAGGCTTAGTTACTAACCCTGGTGAACACCACTAAATTCTGGCACTGGAGGTTGCTAAAGGTGTCTAATATGCGAATTTCGCTTCGATGTGCGATATACGCGCGAGCACGGATGCTCGGCAAGGGCAACAAAGCACGCAGACGTATCCGTAACCAGAACTAGCTTTTCGCAGGCTCTGGTAATAATCATATGCCTCGTGCGTGCGTGTAGTCTTATGTCTGAGCAAGTCTCGAAGGCGACGTCGGCCACTCGCCCGTTGACAGCTGCTGAAATTTTGCTGAAGCCTTGCACGCGGACCAAGTCCGGCCTCTCTCCCTCGGCACAGACCTGACACCACATGCCACTAGCCAATCAGCGCTGCTTACTTACTGAGCTCAGTCTCTGTCGTAACTAGCTGCCTTTCTTCATCGCGCCTCTTCTTCTCTTGATAACAACCAAACACTTCAGGTCGACTGCTGCGCCTGCAAGTACATCTCCCCTCAACTCTACCAAGTCCATTGCGGCAGTTTGGGCCCCCTCACAATGATTGGTGCCAGATTAGCAGCGCGACAGCTGGTATGTTTCCCTCCGATACCTTCTCCCACCTCCGAAACGCCATTGATAGAGCACCAAGACAGCTAACGTTGTGTCGAAACAGCCCCGGCTGGGCCGGCGGTCATTCGCTACCGTCAATGACTCCGCTCTCACCAAGAAGGTCGAGATGACCAACTGGGAGAAGGGTCACTACATCAACTATGCCGGAATGAACGAGACCCTCCAAATCGTGCGGAAACGGTTAAACAAGCCACTCACATACGCCGAGAAGGTCATGTACTCGCATCTTGACGATCCTCACAACCAGGAGATCGAGCGCGGAAAGAGTTATTTGAAGCTTAGACCCGACAGAGTTGCTTGCCAGGATGCCACCGCTCAGATGGCTATTTTGCAGTTCATGTCTTCGGGTATGGATGCTGTGGCAACTCCATCCACTGTCCACTGTGATCACTTGATTGAGGCACAAGTTGGTGGTGAAAAGGATCTCGAAAGAGCCAACTCCATCAACAAGGAGGTCTATGATTTCTTGAGCACATCTTGCGCCAAGTATAACATTGGTTTTTGGAAGCCTGGATCTGGTATTATTCACCAGATTGTAAGCATATTCCTGTCCTTTTCAGTCGGTATGGAGATTAATTTCTGCACAGGTTCTCGAGAACTACGCTTTCCCCGGTGGTCTTATGATCGGTACTGACTCGCACACTCCAAACGCTGGTGGTCTCGGTATGGCAGCCATTGGTGTCGGTGGTGCTGATGCTGTCGATGTCATGGCCAACCTTCCATGGGAGGTCAAGGCACCAAAGGTCATTGGTGTCCGACTTACTGGAAAGATGTCCGGCTGGACTGCTCCAAAGGACATTATCTGCAAGGTCGCTGGTATCCTTACGGTCAAGGGTGGTACCGGAGCAATTGTTGAGGTGACTGCGAAGAGCTAAGGCGAGACCCATTGCGTGAGACATACTAACCCTGTGCAGTACCACGGTCCAGGAACTGAGAACTTGAGCTGCACTGGCATGGCCACCATTTGCAACAGTGAGTTGAAGCTTGAACACGCACTTTCCGCCATATATTGACAGTTTTGCAGTGGGTGCTGAAATCGGTGCCACCACATCGCTCTTCCCATTCAACGACCGCATGTACGACTACCTCGCAGCCACCAAGAGAAAGCACATCGGAGACTTCGCTCGATCATACGCCACCGAACTCCGTGAGGACGAGGGTGCTGAGTACGACGAGCTGATTGAGATCAACTTGAGCGAGCTCGAGCCCCAGATCAACGGTCCATTCACTCCAGACCTTGCCACTCCTCTCAGCAAGTTCAAGGACGCTGTCAAGGAGAACAAGTGGCCACAAGAGCTGAAGGTTGGTCTTATTGGTTCTTGCACAAACTCCTCCTACGAGGACATGAGCCGCGCCGCATCTATCGCTCGGGATGCCCTCGACCACGGTATCAAGGCCAAGGCCATGTTCACAATCACTCCTGGTTCTGAGCAGATCCGTGCCACCACCGAGCGTGACGGTCAGCTCAAGACTCTTGAGGACTTCGGAGGCATGGTCCTTGCCAACGCCTGTGGACCTTGCATTGGCCAGTGGCAAGTGCAACAAGTGCCCAATCTGCTAACCTTTCGCTAACTTTTGTGGCAGGGATCGTCGTGATGTCAAAAAGGGCGAGCCTAACTCCATCGTCTGCTCGTACAACCGTAACTTCACTGGACGTAATGATGCCAACCCAGCCACCCACTCCTTCGTCACCTCCCCAGATATCGTAGTTGCTCTCACTCTCGCCGGAGACCTCACCTTCAACCCAATCACCGACACCCTCATGGACAAGGACGGCAAGCCGTTCAAGCTGAAGGAGCCATCCGGTGATGGTCTGCCAGCACGTGGCTACGACCCAGGTCAGGACACCTACCAGGCACCACCACAAGACCGCTCTTCTGTCTCCGTCGCTGTCTCACCAACCTCCGACCGTCTTCAAATCCTTGAGCCATTCGAGCCATGGTAAGTGCAAAGCCCCGTGTGCACGCGATAATTGCTGTGAACGTGACTAATGTTGTATAAAAGGAATGGTAAGGATTTCCACAACCTTCCAATCCTGATCAAGGCTCAAGGCAAGACCGTAAGTCGCTTTTGTCTGAAACCATTTCATCGCGCCATTGCTAACATTGCTCAGACCACGGACCACATTTCAATGGCGGGCCCATGGTTGAAGTACCGTGGACACTTGGACAACATCTCTAACAACTTGCTCATCGGTGCCATCAACTCTGCCAACGGTGAGGCCAACAAGGTCAAGAACCAGGAGACTGGTGAATTCGACGCCGTCCCAGCTACTGCCCGTGACTACAAGAAGAGAGGTATCAAGTGGGTCGTCATTGGTGACTGGAACTATGGCGAGGGTTCTTCCCGTGAACATGCTGCTCTCGAGCCAAGACATCTTGGCGGTCTTGCTATCATCACCCGATCCTTCGCTCGTATTCACGAGACCAACTTGAAGAAGCAGGGTATGCTTCCACTTACTTTCCAGAACCCAGACGACTACGACAAGATCCAGCCAGATGACCGCGTCGACCTTAGGGCCACCGAGCTTGCTGTCGGAAAGCCAGTCACCATGACTGTTCACCCAGCAAACGGCGACAAGGCATTTGACATCTCACTTGTGCACACATTCAACGAGCCACAACTCGAGTGGTTCAAGAACGGAAGCGCACTTAACACCATGGCCAAGGCAGCCAAGTCATAGACCTGTCGCACTGGGCGGAAAGGAAAAGAAAGCAGAGTTATTAGCAAGAGACGAGGAAAATGACTTTCGATTTCTCAATGATGATACACAGGACGGGCATTCTCGTCAGGAAATGGAGGATCAAGGCTCCATCTGCTGCAGTGAATTTATAGCATTGTTGTGCATAGTTGTTTCGCGGCGCTGTTTGGTCGGACTTATGTACTTCGACAATGAGTTTGAAACCACTGGCCTCTCATGTCTCACGTCTTCGTAATCTGCGTAAGCATTGCTATCGAGAAGCAGAATTGACGTTTCAGGGAGGTCAAAGGTCACGTGTACGGCTGCAACCGACCATCCTTGCTCAGCGCCAAGACCGTGCGTTAGCGAACGAAATTGAACTTCATCGCCAAAGCCGCAGCGCAGACAAGAAATCAGAACCCAGAAGCACGTTCGCAACACACAGTCGCAATGGCCAGTACGTAAGCGCAGGAATGTCATATTGCTTGAGGTACTGATATCTGCGCAGAGTCAAAGAACTCGTCTCAGCACAACCAGGCCAAGAAGGCGCACAAGAACGGGTACGATTTCCTCCTACCGCATGCCACGATCCCAATGCCGAATATGAAAGAGCAGCGAGAGATGGAATACAGAGGACGGGAGATTTGAGAACGGTCGTTGCTGACAGCTGGATGACAGTATCAAGAAGCCAAAGACTCACAGATACCCTTCGCTCAAGGGAACCGACCCAAAGTTCCGAAGAAACCACAGACATGCTCTTCACGGCACCATGAAGGCATTGGTACGTCAAAATGCGCATTGCACCCAGGAAGCATGGCAGGAATCACGGACAAATGCTGACATCCGCTACAGAAGGAGGTCAAGGAGGGCAAGCGTGACGCCGCATAAACGAATCGACCACCACGGACAGCTACATCATGGGATATCTGGAGCATTGAGTGGGGACTTGTTTACGGCTACTACGACACGAGAAGCGGAGCGTCACACTGTACGGCGCAAAGCAAATGAGGACGGCTTTTCCAAACATGAAGGTAGCCGAAATGCATGCCTGAACTGATCTGCCAGCTCCATCTCACTTGCATCGTCCGCGCACTCCCATCTACCTACCTGCAGCTTTTTCATCTGCTTGTAGCTCCCAACCTCCACTCGCTTCCCGAGACAGTACAAAACATGGCATATGTGTGTACAACGCCTAGCAAACAAACTTTTTATGCAACGGTGTTGAAGGGTTTTCCAACGTGCCAAGATTTATCGTTTCGGCGATGCCTCCTCATTACCAAACATGAATGCTCTGCCTTTTCTATGGGTGTTTGTGCATGAAGAGGTGGTAACAGACTTCAGTTTTTCCTCGGACTTGTGTGACAGCTTATGGTTGGGGCAATCGTCCGCGTCGGACACCAGTTCCACCGCCACTGACGGGCTCGGAAAGGTGGGTTTGAGATAGGTATGTAGCTTTACTGTATTTCCGGCGCATTCGCCATTTTGTCTTCTTTGTGATATTTTCTTTATCGACAACACTTGCTTGGCGCTTCAACATCCGAGACCGCGTTTCCCGGCAACGCTCGCGTGGGCCGCCACTCGAAGCCATCAGACGCTCAAATTTACAGCGGCATTGCCTTCAACTCCCTTCGCCAGACCTTCTGGCGCGGATCGGACGCGTCAACGATGGCGGGTGCATCGCAGCTTGTCGAGGTCGATCCTGCGGTATTCCTAGATCCAACCATCACCACGATTCTTGCTGGACCAGATCGCATTCGATATGCTGTCCACAAAGCACTCCTGTGCCAAAAATCAGGTAAGTCGCAGCCACCATGATGGCTACCTACTCCTCACTTACATTGGCCACATTCAGGCTACTTTGCCAGAGCATACAACACGACCATGAAAGAGCCCAGTCAGGACACTTTCACTATCAGTGATCTGCCAGACGAGGCTTTTCGCACGCTGATTACTTGGCTGTACACCGGCAAGGTCTTCCTCCAGCCCGGAAAAGAGCCCAGTCTGTCCGTTGCGGTCCCGCCAGAGGAATCGGATGATGAGGCAGATGACGATGACGACGACGGAAGCATCAGAGATGGATGGTACCAGGACAGTGACAAGGACCCGGACAGCGGCGACGATGAAATGGAATACGAAGACGAGGACCAACAAACCGACCTAGCTCCGAAATGGACATTGAAGGAAAGGCCCGAAGCTTTCCGAATCTCCCAGGCTTTCCCACATTCCTCCAATCTATCCGACCTCGATTCTTATCAGCTCAATTGCTTGGTTCGCATGTACGAGCACGAGCCTTACGATGGTGGAGATCACAGTGAATTCCTCGACAAATGCAAAGCCCTACTCAAGCAATCCGCAGACAACGAATCTAACTCGAGAGAATCAAGCGACCAGGGAGAGCGCGATACCTACGATCACCTCATCGACATCTACATCTTAGCCGATCGTTTCGACATCCAGGGCTTGCGCATCGACATCATGAATCTCATCGAGGAGCACCAAGGCGAGCAAGAGAAATACATCACCGACAGTACGCTACCGACTTTGCCGACCATTGCGAAAGTTTGCGAGAACTTGCCACATACTTCCGACTTGCGTCTATGGCTGGTTCATGGAATGGCTTTCGAATTTTCTGCTCAAGCCGCAGAACTTGAAATTTTGCCGAAGGACTTTTTGGTGGATGTTTTGGCTACTATGGGACAGAAGGTGAAGTGGCTTTGGACGAAAGATGATTTGCCACAGTATCAGGATCAGTGCTTGTGCCACATACATGAGTCGGAGGATGAGGTGAAGCGTAGATTGGTGAATGGTGTTGGAGATTAAGAGGGAGAGGAAGAGGAAGAAGAAGATGAGGACTACGTAGACGATGATGGTGATTGAGTATGAATAGGACTTACCCTGTGCATGCAGATTAGGCGCAAGCTGGTATGCGCTGGATGGTTGATGGGTTATATAAAGACGTCCTTGAACTACGATGCTCTAACAATCATGCGTACGTCTGAAAACCAGTGAACCTCTTTTTTACGTTAAGAAAAGTCCTTTGTTGATGCTGACCTTGCCGTCATTGATCCGAGGACGGGGAGGATTCGGAAGGGAGGTACTGTATGAGTAGCTAGCTAGCTATATAGAATGAAGCATGGTACCAAGCAATGCTTGGACGAATAGTTAAGCGAATGTCTTCCCTCATGCACTCCCTCCATTGGAGCACAGACCCCGCCAAGATTCTGCCGATCTTATGCAAAAGCTTCACTGAACGACGTCACCCTTCATCCTCCGACGCTTTGGAGCCGCTCTGCGCGTGGCCGCTCGTGGTGTAGCTCCTGCATGGCGAATAGCAGCTGTTTCTGCACCGGAGTTGAGTGCGTGTATGGTACCGCACCTCCGCTTTCATGTTGTCACGATGCCGTTCAGCCACCCAGTCACACGAGCGTCTGGCAAGATGATCCTGATCCTGTTTCTCCACGCCGAAGAAGCAGATTGAACTCGCCTGGCCATCCTCCATCGCCGTGGAAGCGAAATCCAGATTCTTCTGATCACAATGGCTCGAGAGAAAGATTCCGTCGACGATGGCTACAACAAACCCTCCATTGTGGACACGGGATATGGCCGCGAAACGGATCCCGAGAAAGGTCAAGACCTCCCAGCCTACCCGCAAGAACACAGTCGAAGACAAAGCACAAAATACGACAACCGCAGCGACCCATTCGGAGACGAATCCGACGCCGAAGTCAAATATCGAACCATGACCTGGTGGCAAGCCGCCGCAATCATGATCGCAGAAACAATCTCTCTCGGAATCCTCTCCTTACCCTCGGTCCTCGCATCAATAGGTTTAGTCCCCGGGATAATCCTCATAATCGGTCTCGGCGTCATCGCAACCTATACTGGTTACACAATGTATCAATTCAAACTCGTATACCCTCACGTGCACAACCTGGCAGATGTCGGCGAGATTTTATTCGGGGGTGCTGTGGGAAGAGAGATTTTGGGTGCTGCGCAAGTGATATTCTTGACGTTTACGATGGGGAGTCATGTTTTGACTTTTACGATTGCTTTGAATGCGATTACGGGGCATGTGACGTGTACGATTGTTTGGTCGGTGGTTGGGACGGTTGTGTTGTTTCTTCTGACTTTGCCGAGGACTTTGAGGAAAGTTTCGTATTTGTCGATTATATGTAAGTCAAACTGTTAAACAAAGGCTGGACGTGATATTAATAGCTGGTGGCTTGTGGACGCTCGCTTACATTGTAGCAGCTTTCATATCCATTCTCAGCGCGGCGATGATCACAATGATCGGAGTCGGAATTACGCGACCAGATCCAATCGTCCAAGCCACGGTCAAAGTCGGCTTCGCATCTGCGTTCCAGAGTGTGACGAATATCATCTTTGCTTACGCTGGTCACGTTGCGTTCTTCACATTCATATCTGAGTTGAAGAACCCCAAGGACTTCCCGAAAGCTCTAATTTGCTTGCAAGCGTGGGACATCAGTTTGTATGTCATAGTGGCGATTGTGGTGTATCGCTATACGGGTCCAGATGTTGCAAGCCCGGCATTAGGAAGCGCTTCACCAGTCGTCACCAAGGTCGCTTATGGAATTGCCCTGCCGACTGTAAGTACGCCCACACCTATATAGTAAGATGTTCCGACCTGGACTGATCTTTCCTAGATTCTGATTGCAGGCGTGATTTACGCACACGTTGCTGCCAAATACATCTACGTTCGTATATTCCAGGGCACCAAGCAGATGTCGACGACCACTTTTCTCGCTGTCGGGACCTGGGTTGGGATCATCGCTGTCCTATGGGTGGTTGCTTGGGTCATCGCCGAGAGTATCCCGGTCTTCAACGATCTTTTATCTCTGATCTCATCGCTGTTTGCGTCCTGGTTTACGTATGGCTTGTCGGGTACTCTGTGGCTATTCATCAACCGTGGGCAGTGGTTCAAGAACCGGCGTAAGAGTTCACTGACCGTAGCGAACACTATGATCTTCCTACTCGGTGCAGCGATCTGTGGCATCGGACTGTATGCTAGTGGGAAAGCGATCAAGGAAGACTCTGGGAGCGGGCATAGCTGGAGTTGCGCGGACAATTCAAAGAGCGGCTAGGCTTGAGGGGTGATCATATGTGTCCATCAGTTGATAGGTGTCATGGCGATGAACTTAGACATTTTCTCTGGCCAAGTTTCGAGGTCTCTGTTCCTGATTGACAGCCAGTCTCGCTCCAGTAGATTGCAACGTATCCCCACTTCCCTTTCCTGCACCGTCACTCCTCTCCATACCACCATATTTCCACCAACCAGTCACAACACCATCGCATACCTGCCCTGATTTCCCGTATACGACTCATTACTTTGCAAAATAAAGAACTTCTCGAATTCCAAGTCGCGGAGTCTAAAATAATCAGAATCCTCTTGACTCCACAGCCGCTTCCGTTGATACAAGATGAAAGGACCAACGTCCTTTTTCTTGAGAGCTTCGCGCCTAGCGAGGCATGATTGACGCATATCATCGAACCGCGCGACGCCTTCAGTAATCCCTCGCTCTAATTTGAGGTACGTGTCGAAGAAGACGCCTAGAGTTGAGTCGCTGGGACATTCCATCGTCCCGTTGAGCCAGCCACTATTCGACCAGCCTCTCTTCAAGTCGAAATTGATGACATGGCTCTTGAGGATGATAGGAGTCGGGGCCATGAGTTTCATTGCCCGCCACGAAGCTTCCTGTTCCATCCAGGAAGGACACTTCAAAAGGTTCTGCTTCGAGATTTCACCTGCGGTGGTGAGATTGCCCTTGTAATGTAATGTATCATATGGAAGTGATTTGCCGAAAGAGCCATCCATGATTCCGAGGGCGAGGAACCACAGCAATGGTGCCTGACGCTGTAGCTTGTCGATAGAGGCATCGGAGTTTGGAATCACCTCGAGAAATTTCAATTGACGCAGGGTCTTTGTGTCAGCGATGTTGTGACAGCGATGTTGTAACGGAAGGTGTGGTTGAATCTCTGGAGTCTGTAAAGGCCGCGTGATGGGTGTGATACAAGGCCATTGCTGTCAACTTCTGCGTCATCACATCTAGAACGGACATGCAAATTTAGCGAGTTCCTTGCCAATGTAAGAAGCTTGATAGCTGCATGCTTACCCATAGAATATCAAAATCTTCTTAAGCAGCTCAGGGATGGCGAAGACTTTGGGTGCCGCGACTGGTGCGCTGGGCATTACGCGTGCGTGGATACTCGAAAAAAGGTCGTAGATCCAGGACATCATCTTTGATTAGCAGCGAAGATGAGTTGACGGGTTGCGCGAATGGGGAAGATATCCTGTCAAATATCATGTCCTTTGTTGGAAATGCTATTTGATTGGAAGCTTCGAGTATTGAGACTTTGATTGCAGAGGGCGGCAGACAGCACTTTGAACGCCATTGAAGGCCAGCTACACACTTCGCCCCGAACATCCGTGCAGCAAGTGAAGTTTGCGCATGTAATGACCAAAATCCGGATCGTGGCACAGCTTTTCTCAAGATCTGACCTTCGTCCGGTATCAGAATCCCCATAGGCATCTCCATATGCATGTGATTACACATCGGCATCAAACTCCCCAGACAAACGCCCCTTCACTAGACCAAATCATCATCCTCAAAATCTTCGTTGTCCCTCCCAGCTCCAGACTCCTGCCAGATAGAAAATGCTCCTATATGCTCATCAAGCCTATTAAAAAAAGGTCTGTCGTCGTAATCCCACTTGTACTTCATAGCATACACCATATATCGGCTGGGGTTGGCATTGACTTGCGCCTTGAAAACTTCGCGTTCAGCCAACTTTACGCTTCGGTACTGTTCAAACGCCATCACAACTTCCGTAAGACCTGTTTCCAGAGCCATGTATACGTCCCAGAAATCGCCGAGAGTAGATTCTGCAGGACACTGCCTCTCAACGGCTAGCTTCTCGAACTCGAAGCACTCACGAATTAAATCGGAGTCGTATTGGTAGTTTAGGAAATGGATCGGGGAAAGCAGCGCGGCGTCCATAGAATTGCAGATTTTCATTTTCCGCCATGAAGCCTCTCGCGAAGTTTTTTCCAGATGTAGCATCCCTCTGTTCTGGGATAATTCTCGGACAGTGGTCTTAGGGTGATGGTATTGAAATGTAGCGTGTTGCTTTTGCTTCCGCCGTGAGGCGTTACCAAGTCGACCCGGACGCAAGTGTTCAAGGAACCAGGTGAGAGGTGCGTAGTTTTGTAACCTGTTGGGAGGACGTGGGTAGTAGTCTACCGGTGCGAGGAACATGAGTCGGCGGAGCTTCTTCGAGTTGGCAATATGATCGCGAAAAGTGTGGTTTACACGCTGTAGTCTGTATAGGCCAAGAGACGGTCGGGTTATGTAGCCTTCGTCATCGATGTCCGCATCACTGCATCCGTACAGAAAGATAATGAGTTCGAACAGTTCCAAAATGCCGAAGACTTTGGAAGCGGCACTCGGAATGACCGGCGCAGCTGGCATATTTGGTGCACTGGTTCCGCGGGCGTTCTTTGGCGAAACACTTTCCATTGTGGAAAGCCTTGTGATTTGGCGTCGCAACGAGGACCTGAAATGCGTATGTTGGTGGCTTAACTTACAAATAGTCTGTCCAGATGTGCGTGCCGTGTATGATATGTACTTGCGAGAGAGGTTGAAGGGGTAAGTTAAATATTAAATCTGGCTGTTGCTTCCAAAATTATATGAGGACCTAAGATTCTTATAAGCTGCCAAGCATAACTGCAAATCTGCTTACCAGCTCCAAAAGCCGCCAAAAAGCTTCTGCATCCTCATGTCCTCACATCACAGCACAGCATGCGACAGCGTCAAATCCCACCGGCCTCCTAGACGTACGGTGAGTGACAATGTCAAACCCTGGATCCTTCCTTCCTGGTCCCGTTCCTACTCTCCAGCCATATCTCTTCACCGCAACCATCCTTCGTCTTCGCATGTCGTAACAGTGGTAGTCGCATCTCGGACATTCGTCTGGGGGAGAAAAGCAACATCGAAGCGGCTTGTCTGCAGGCCCAAAGGGTTGGCAGTCGCTGAAATCGGGGCATGTGATGAGGTTCAGGCCTGGTCCGCAAGGTTTCCTGAGCTCGAGCCTGTAGGCGCTGGTTAGAAGCCTGCCTGCCTCGATTTGGCCTTGGATCTCGGAGCTTTACCATGTATGTCCACATTGTCGCGATTTCCAGTAAATCGTCTTGCACATCTTGATCTTGATCTGTGCCAACAAGTCTTGCTGGGTAGCTGTGCGTGACTGCGTATCCTGCAACGATCCCAAGAATCTTCCTCGTTGCTTCTGTCGAGCGTCGTCTTCTGGATTGCAGCGTAAGTGTATATTCATTAGTGCTCTCAAGCACCCTCAAGCACCCCAAAAGTCAGTGTTTGCTTCGAAGCACATGCACATTAACAAGCAGCTGTCCAATGACCAAAACAGCGGCCCGAAGATATCCTCAACCCTTCCTTCCCAATCACTCACCCGTCCTTCCCCTCATGAGGACTAGGCGGTTCAGGTGCCTTCCCATGCTGATACTCGGGATCATTCTCCTCCAACTCACTCTTCCTAATCGCCTGCATCAACTCATACATCTGCGCGAGTTGTTCATCACTCATCTTATCAACTTTCCCAACATCCATTTTTTCGCCTCTCCATTTATCGCCCTACAAAAAAATCGATCCCCGTAAGCATGTGAAATTCGCGTCAGTCCGCTCAGACTCACCTCAACCTGCTGCGCATAACCCTGCCACTCCGTCAAAAAGCCCACAATATGCACAGGATTCTCCGTCTCTCGATGCGCTCGGAACTCAGCTTTCACGTATTCATCTCCCAGAACGCGCATTTCTCGGGGGAGGAATTTTCGATGAGCTCGGAGGATTCGGCGGTAGAGGGGGATTGGAGGGAGGAGGGCGATTTGGGAGCCTTTGAGGCCATTGGATTGGGTGCCGATACTTGAGGGAGTTGCGTAAGAGCGGACGAGGCGAGGGACTGACGATGTAGAAGGGAGGCGAGGCATTTTGGCGATGGTTATGACGGTCAATGGCTGACATGGAGGTGATAGTTGTAGAAAATGTTCAGTTCATGACAGACCTTAGCGCGGGTATGGGGTCAGCCGGAATAGTTATAGTACAGTTATCCTCGTAGGAGCCGTAAAAGCACGGTTTTCGTCAGCGCAATAGTTTCAGCGCTTAAGCGGTTGATAATGATAACTGTTTCTAACCTTAAATGGTTGTATTACGGTTGTCGTTTATAAACAGTTGTTCTTATAAGCGGTTTAGTATTACGAACGGTTTTACTAGGTTAAGGAATAGTTTAGCTAATAAGAGCTACTAAACTCCGCGGAGGTGCCTCCGCCTGCTACTTTACTTACTATTCCTAGTATTATCGCTTCTTCTCTATATACTATTTATTTACTTACTGCCGCCGCCCTTGCTACTAGCAAAGTTAATTTTATATAGCAATTGCAATCGCTTTCGAGACCTTTAACGCATTATGTCTAGCGTTGAGACTGTCGTATATATATGCTAAGCTTCAGCTATCTAAGACCCCTATTTCCTTATGTTTTATAAGCCTAAGAAAGAATATATTATCCTAGAGACCTAGACACTTCTACTATAAGAACTACTTAAGAACAATATGTATTACACGATCTATACTAGCACGACCTCCTTTAGCCTAAACAGCTTTAATAGTAGATGTTTATATTTATTGCAAGCTTTAACAGCTAGCAAGATCTTATATATTAGCCTCTTAGCAATGTATTAGTATTCTTAAAACTCAGATCCTTAGTAATGTATTAGTATTCTTAGCATTATTTAGCACATTTTTAGTATTATTATATAAAGCATATTATACGTACAACTATAGTAGATTGACAGTCAAAGTTTATTAAATAGTATATAGATTTAAACCCGAATATAAAAGCCGATACTATAGATTATCTTTAATAGCTCGAATCTTAGGACTTTATGGATCTTTAGCACTCTATTTAGCATAGTACTCTAGATTCCATTCTGGATCTAGATGTCTACTACGACTATATTAATACGATACGAGTACATACCGTTTATATGTTTTCTAGAACTATATTTATTTATTAAAATAGGCATATAGCGTAGTAGTCTACGGTATTAATTTATATGCTAATTGTTTACAGAATCCTAAACGAACTCGTACTGAGTTCCGGGAATTAGTAGCGAACAAGGCAAAGCGAATCTCCCCTAAAAAATACACTAAAGCTACTGCTGCTTAGTCTATAGAGTATAATTAAGATGTCTTACGATCTGCTCGACTCTATTATTAAATTCGAATTCATTATTTCCTCTATGCTTTACATATATTTAAACACGATGTAATTATTAATATTTATAGCGCGGATTTCGACACTACTTAACCTTATTATATATAGTATCGGAGAAAGTTTATAGACATGAAAAACATTCAGTTTAAAGTCCTAGAAAAAGCAAGGGTAAGTTCATTCCTATACTATATACCTATTCTTTTTGCACTTTTGAAGCATACTTTTGATAATTAGGTTCATCTTTTAGTCTTTAAAACTACCCTTTTGCATAACATTCTTTTATAGTTTGAACTTATAGATCTGATTCTTATAAGTTTAAGCTATAAAAGAATGTTATCTTTTTGCTATTCAATCTACCTTATGCTGTTTAGCAACTCGATTTAGTATAGCAACGCTAATAGATATAATAGGATTAAGCCGAGCTCGAGGTAAAGGAGCACCCTAGTCTGCTTGCCCTAGATAATAGGCAAGTACAAAAGCACTTTGTGCAGAATTCCTTTTCGGAGGACAACTTCTTCTCGGTATATATGCTACTTCTAATGTGCTTTGCACTCTTAGATAGTGCATTATGCTAATAATATATACGTAGCTACTACTATTTAGTCGACTATCTCGACTATAAGGCCTCTACTAGTCGAGGTAAACGCTTTTACTCTTATATGTCTACGATCTGTCGACATAAATCTTCCTATATCCTTTAAGTATATTCTAGGACTAGATCGCAATAGAAAAGCACATACTAATACTATATACTTTAGGGCTCTACTCGCGTCTGCTAGCCTTTACGGTTAAATGCATTAAGGCAGACCGCCTGCTCGGCAAGGTTAGTCTTACGCTGCGAGTGTTGTATATGCAGCTAATATATATATATAGACCGACGGCAATGTACGTACCGAGCTGCGCAACAAGTACTCGGCTTAGCCGTAAGTACAGTTAATATTTAACATTATTAACTGTAGCTGTACTTAAGACCTATCCTTTAATATAATATAGTTCTTATCTAGCGACTAATCTCCGAAGCTCCGCAATAAATAAATAAATACTAACAATCTCTATATAGAACCGACAAGAAATAGGATGCGCTACGCCGCAGCGACTTCGTCTTTACGTATGTGTTTAGATCTATAGTAGATTAAGTATATAGATAAGCATATACTAATCATTTCTAGCTAACCTCCGCCGTAGCAGACCTCCGGGTCTACTCGCAAGGTATATATCATCCTACGATCTATAGTAACAACAAGTGTTTAGCTCGTAGTTTGTAGTAGGAATATACTAACATTTAATAGGAGATAGACCTTGCCGCTGCGTTAGCTAACGCCGACGATAATAACTTCGATATAGGCTTAGATGCCGAGTAGCTTCTTTTCTGTTTCTTCAAATAATCATTTATATATGCATAGCGCTAGGGTGCTATTTGCTTGCTATTCGCTATTGCTAGGTACTGCTTTAGTCTACGTTTCTCTATTTTTATATATATTATTAATCTACGCATAACTCTTAGACGACTAACAACCTAGTATAGCTTCGTCTACAATTAACCTAATAAGAACAGTAAGAACAACGGAATATAGTATGTTTAGCGACAATTATCGAAGAAGCGTCGAGTATAAGCTAGCCTATAGGAAGCTAGTAGAAGTTAGCTAGTTAGCTAGCAAATACTATTATGCTACCTATAACGAACTTTCTAGGGCTATTTACATATAGCGACACTTATTTATATACGAACTGCTCGTAAAAGACGCGTGCACGTGTTGTTTACGCGTAGCGCGTATTCGGGTACCTATACCTGCCTCGCGACTTCCGCCGAGCCTATCTACAAATACCTACCTCCTAGAACTCGCACTTCTATAAACAATACATATACACACACACTACGCATACATACTGCACACAGTCTTAGCATCTAGATTAGTACACTCGAGGCTCTTAACATTTAATATAACTAGCGCTAGGCACTATATTAGTGCCGCTAATATAGCGCCTAAGTACGTAGGCCTTCGAAACCTGCGTAATATACCTATTTAGCTACTATCTTAAGGCGCTGTATAGTAAGACGCTCTATAGCAAGGCTCTTCTTAGCAGCCGCTACAATCTTAGGGTACGAAGCGTTTATACGAAGAAGACGACGAGGACGATAATATAGAAGACCTCGACCTAGGCGTATATTAGAGCATCGAGTTTAATAGCAACGAGGCTACTAGTACCGACTTATTTAACAATGCTGTAGATAATAACGACTACGTACCGATCGAGGAAATAGATAGTCTAGTACTTAGTCTAACGTTAGCGAGCAATTAGGTACCTGCTACCGACGAGGATAAAGATATCGATAGCATTATAGAGCGCGCTAACTATGCCCTACTTAACGATGCCGACGATAACAACTTCGTCGTACTAGGTGCTAATAAGGATAAAGAAGATATACCGCTACCTATCGATACGAGTCTAATAGGTCCGCCGGTATATACCTTCGCTAGACTTAGAGCCGACACTTCGTAGGTCTATAATTAGAAGACTACTAAAATTACCCGCATTAGCGCAATTAAACTAGAGTTTGCACTTTAGCTCTAATAGGTAGGCATTTTACGTACTAATTACGTATCTCTACGAGGCATTTTTGCATCTACTACCGACGCTAATCTGCGAATGCTTCTACGGTCTCTAGACACGCTTTAGGAGCACTTGAAATTAGTGCTACCGCTGCTTCCGCTACGCTTCGAAGCTATTGCGCTTACTATCGACGAGAATAAGATGCCTACGCTAGTAGCGGGTTAGAAGGCTTCGTTAAGTGCTATAGCTACAACTAAGAAGGTCCCGTTATACTTCTTTAACCCGTAGCAATTGTTCGCTCGGCTGCTCGCTTCGGATATTATAAAGAATATCTATTAAGGCCTAGCTCATTTCGTAGACTCGCTAAAGCAATTGTAGCATTCTAAAGCTTAGGCTAGCTCAATTCGCACGACTTCTAGAGACTTTGCTAGGTACCCTTTAAATAATAGTCTAAGCACTACGATGTAGTATAACTCTAGTCTAGCGGCCGGCAATACCCCTACTTTTACTAGCAACTAGACCGCACCGAAGAAGTCTAAGAAGAGCGATAAGCGAGCTAAGCTAGATAATCAACCGAACCTAATACTAGCTCGTAGTATTAACTAGAAACAATTTATCGGCGTAGCTAGCGGCCCTATCTTCCCTTCGGACTTTGTTATATTCTCGGCGAACGACGAGAAGTATATTAGCCGTATTGCTATAGTTAGCATCGACAAGCGAACGTTAAAGCTTGCTATATTCGATTATAACGGCGCTACTAGCAGCGTTGTTACGTAAGTCTAGCTTATCTTGCCTATAGCAGCAATTTCGGCACCTGCTAGCACCTAAGCTAACGAGCTTTTTATAACCGACACTATATACTTCGTATTGCCTTAAGACCTCGAGCCCTTTAACGGCACTATTGCTATATACTATACCTTCGAGAGCAAGGTCGAATACTATCCTACGCCTTCTAACTACTATACGTACTTTATTCGTCGTATTACAGATAGTAACGAGTTTCGATTAGTCTTTAAGAGCTACCCTATCCGCGGTAAGCTAGAAATCCTAACATTTAGACGCTATTATCTGCTTCAATTCGATAAGGTCTCTAGTAAGGGTGCTATTAGCCTACCTCTACTAAACTTTATCGACGGCTTTAGTCTACATCGTAATATAAATCGCTCCTTAATAGGCTTCTACTTTATACCTATAGGTCTTCCTATCGAGGAGCGTAACCGCATCTCTAATATACTCGCCTTTACACTTAGTCCGTACGGCAGCAATATATCCGACATTGTTACTACTATCGGCCCTTCGTTATAGGCTCTTAACGAGGGCTAATAAGTCGACATTCCTAGTAAAGGTAAGACTCTGCTTTATGCCTTTACTATAGCATTTACTAGAGACATGCCCTAATAGCAAACCAATGCTAGCATGCTCTACTAGTTAGCTAATGTTAGATGTCGTATATGCTATACTACTAAGGAGGATCGTAGACAGCTTCGGAGTAGATAGGAGATAAAGTATTACTATAAGACCGAGCGCATTCGCTAATTTATAGACTCGCTGCCTAAATCCTCGCGTCGGGAGTATAGCAGCTAATATAGTATAGCAGCAGAGGCCTCGGCCTTATAGAAGATTACTCTAGCACTAGACATTATCTAGTTACGCCTACTAGATCTAGCGCACTCGGAGTATAACGGAATTACTAATATGCTTTATTAGGTGCTTCTCGATAAGATCTTAACGCCTATAGCTAAGTCGTTATATAGCTAGCTGCTTCGCAACTTCCCTTTCCCTTTAGGCTAGGGTTACCTACGCTCGCCGCTTTATTATATCGGCTTATATAGCTTAACCGAGCACGTATAGTAGTTAGTTATAGTAGTCCTGCTACTCCGTATCTAGCTAAAAGATGATCTTATATAGCCGAATTTCGTACAAGCGATACTATAATAGCAAGGCCTTACTGCTATATTATAGTATATTTAACAGCTCGTACAGCTAGACTAGTAAGTTACTACCTCTGCGGTTATTGTCCGCGTCTTCGCAGCACTAGCACAATCTAATATGCACCTTATATCCGCTACTCTTACTAAGTAGCAGCGAGTGGATCTAATATAGGAGATGCTATACGTCCGAGATTTATTCTAAGACATTATACAGTGCGCGTTAGTTGCTAACGCAAAGAAGCCTATAACTCGCGCTGCTAAGGAAGCCTAAGCTTCGTTAGCTCGTAAATTATAAGAACGTAAAGTATAGGGTCTGCGAGAGTCGCTCGCTCGGTAGTCTTAAGATCTAGCATTTCCTAATTTATAAGGCCAAACTCCCGCGGACGTTATCTAGGCTTAAGCACCTGCTAAGCAGAAGCTTACTAAGTATTAGCTTATAGCAAAGCGGCCGAACGTCTACATTAGTGCTTACTAGCTATAGGTAATTGCTAAATACGGTGCAGCAGTTAATGTTAACGTCCTCGGCGGCGAGTCTAAGCATAAGATTATAAAGTAGAACATCTACTATACTAACTTTTAGAAGCCCGAGCGTAACCTTCTACAGATGCAGGGCCTAGAGATAACTATACGACTTATTCTGCAAGGTGCGTACAACTTAGATACAGATAAGAATGTCTAGCATATTGCTTAGCAGCTAAAGTCGCTATTTAATAAGAATCCTAAGCTCTTCGATAAGATATTGCTACGATCTAAGCGTAAGAAGCAGGATAAGCCTAGCTAAGAACTGTCTAGTAACGAGAAGTATATTAATATCTACGTAGGCGACTAGTATAAGCAGTATTACTATAAGGATATTCTTCTGCTTCCGACAACTAACGATAGCGTACTTATAACTAGAGCTTTCCGCAAAGCACTTACGGGTACTTACTAAACCGACTATAAGAAGCCTAATGTTAACACAACTAATATACTAGCGATCTACTAGTATAATCGTCTGTCGTTCGACGATAAGACTAAGCACTATATTACCTTGCAAGCCGGTAACTTTGTCTAGTATCGCAATAGCGGAGAGGTCGGTCTCGTTAAATACTTCTTTATATACTAAGTATCGCCTATATCCGAGCGTATAGTGTTTGTCCGCTTGCAAACTACTACTAAGACTAGCAGTCTACCTAATCTAGTTACTTAGCTCTTTATATATCGACTAGACGATAACAAGATTACTATTAGACTGCTAGGTATTCGTAGCAAGAAGGTCTAGATAGTGCTATTCTAGCGTATTAGTAATAGATTAGAGATAAAGCGTATCTCGAAGCCTCGTAGTAGTAGTAAGTTGCTATACGTCGATTAGGATATGTAGTTCCTTTAAGAGGTATGTTTGTTATAGCTACTAAATATACTGTCGCTAACTAAACGTAGATAAGCATTTATATACATACGAAGCTCTCGTTCTATAGAGGTATGTCTATAACTTGTCCGACCTCTAAGTAATGCTAATAGTATATTAGGTTGTTTTCTATATAGTAACACCCTTCCTTTCTTTATAGTAAGTACATACCTCTAGGCTCTTCTAAACATTTGCTAACTCTTTATATATATAGATTCCGACGCCGCAACCCTATCTAGCACTTTTATTAGCAAACGCAACCCCTTTAGTAAGCATTCTTCTAGGACTTCTAGCACTTTATTCGGTATATACGATCGAGCGACTCTTAGGCGATAATCGATAGATAAGTAAGACGTAATAGTTAGTAGGCGGCGGTAGGATAGATAGATTATAAATATAATATCGTTAGCGTAGAAAGAACAGTCTCGATAAATGAATAGTTGTAGCACGTAAGCGGCTATACCCGGAGCAGCGGTTTGATTAGCTAAACCGTTTGTAGTCCTAAACCGCTATGCAACTATTCGTCGTAATAAACTGTTTATATACGACAACCGCTTAATATCGACAGCTATATTGCAACCATTGTTAAGAAGTTACAGTTCAGAAAGATAACGGTTATATCTGCGCTTAACTGCTCGAATGGTTGCGTTTCACAACCGTAGATAAACCGCTCAGAAGCCGCTTAGACCGGGCACACACCCCGCTAAGGGAACTTTGAAGTTCACGATGCTCGCATGCTCGACGTCATGCGATGCGCCTCGGCGTCTGAAGCTTTTGAGCCTCAAAACCTTGTTCGTGTTTTCAGCGATAGATCGAAAGAAAATCTTGACCTTCCACCAGACATCATTGTATGCGAACTCGCGACGTCGCCACTCCTGTCTCTCTTAAGAGTTTCAGTCTGTGGAGAGCTTGCGCTGGAGGTTTGAGGTCAGGACGATTCACCGGCAATCACAACCACAACCTGGATTTGGCACAAGCTCCAAGAATTTCTGTTTACTTGATTTTCTGTCGATTTACCGAACGACGGCACTACTGATCCTGATCATCCCTCCCGGTATCCAAGAGCATACAACATAATCAACGAACGCATACAAGTGGTATCTCAGATCCAGAACTCCAACCATTTCTCAACCAAGAAATCATGCTACCAACGCCTTCCACGTCCCACGTGAACTACGAGCAAATATACGAACCAGCCGAAGATTCATATCTGCTCCTCGACACGTTGTCATCAGAAGCCGAAAAGGAGTTCCTCCAAAGCCACTTCCCCAAGACTACAAATGCGCCATTACTCGTAGAAGTCGGAACGGGATCCGGAGTTGTGCTAGCTTTCGCGACAGCCAATGCTTCGCATCTTTTTGGTCGCACCGATATTGCGACTTTGGGGTTAGATGTGAATGATTTTGCTTGTAGCGCGACGTCGCAGACAGTAAAGTGTGCTACCCAAGAAGCAGGTGTGGATCAAGGAGGAAGATTCCTGGGTGCCGTATGTGGCGATCTTACGACACCACTTCGAGAAGGTTGTGTGGATATCCTCATCTTCAATCCTCCATACGTACCAACGGAAGAGCTGCCGAAACATCCGAAAAAAGAGTATAGCGACCAGAACAAGAAGTGGACCAGCACCGAAAGCTTCGAACGAGACTCGCACCTGCTGTCCTTGTCGTATGCGGGCGGCGTCGATGGAATGGAGACGACGAATCGACTGCTCGGCCAGTTGCCACAAGTCTTGAGCGATCGAGGCGTGGCGTATGTGTTGTTCTGCGCACAAAACAAGCCCGATGAGGTCGCAAGTCGAATTCGGCGGTGGCCCGTTGAATCGAAGGAAAAACCGTGGCAGACCGAGATCGTTGGCCGAAGCGGCAATAAGGCTGGCTGGGAGAGATTATGCATTATGCGCATCTGGCGCACTTGAGCCCTCGGACTCAGCACTGTCCGCTCTCAACGTAGGAGATGGCAATCTTGGCGACAAGACCGGAACGTGGCTTCTTCGGCAGTCAGCACAGTCCCAGGAGTCCTACTCCAGTTCTGTCCGGTCATCTGCGCCTCGATAGTGGAAATCACTCAGGCCTTCGTTCCACGGCTCGTTGGCACTGAACATACTATCCTTCGCATCGGTATTGGTTGAGTGTCCAGCTTCCTGCCACAGCAGATCATCATTAAGCCACTCGGACTGCTGTCGAGGTTTGTGCTGAGCCTCCTCCAAGGGCCAGAGATTAATGTCGAATTCTTCCGAGTCTTCGGCTTTGTGGTCCGCTATGCAGCCCGTCTTATACAAGATGATCTCGCCCAGGTTCCGACTACCTCGATGCTCGCTTGCGATATGATCGAGATAGTAGTCGATGCCGTGGTATACGCCTGACTTGCCGGTCAAGAAGACGCAGAACAAGCAGTTAAAGCTATATTGGTGTTTGACCACGACTTTCTGCAGCACATGGCTCTTCGCGAGGAACGTCCATCGCAGCTTGATGCCCTTGGATGGCACCGCAAAGACACGCGACCACACCACGTTGAGATCAACATGGGAGAAGTTGCTTCGAAATGCGCATTTGTTTGTGTTACATGCGAGGTAGTGGACTGCATTTGCTGAGCTTGGATGCCGAGACCAAGCGTCGACTTCTCTACACTTTCCAAACGAGCTCTTTCTGTCGCCATTCTGCAGCTTCCATGCGCCTTTGCAGAATCCCAAGTAGTCATTCTCAGGATTCGGCGTGGGGAGTGCAGTACTGGGAACGCCGTGAAATGATGGATTTAGGGAGTTGGAGCGGTTGGTGAGCACGGGTGATGGTGGCGATGTCTGGCGTACGAGAGCAGCGTTTGGATGTTGAGCATCTGGAGCCAGGGCCATCGTCTCGCGTCGGTCCATGGAAGGCTTCGAGCCCCAGATCTCCGAAGGGTTGTCCTCCCACTCTTCATACTGAAAGCTCTTGCGTTCGGGTCCATTGCTATTGAGATCACCAGTGCTCTTCGCGGGTGGCGGCTGGAAGGGAGCACTTGTCGGTCCTGTGGGAGAGATTGAGGATTGGCGTTGAGGCTCTTCGACGGCTGGCGGTAGGCCTTTATGTGATTCAGCACTGGTCGTGCGGTGATGCTTCAAGAAGTGCAGGAGGGAGCTTCGCTTCCGATTGTGGGCATGATTCTGGTTCTCATCCGCGCCAGAAGTTGTGTCTTCCTCTCCAGAGGCATCTCTCGAATGGGTGAAGTCGCGACTCCATGTCTTATGATGATGCGCAGGCGGAGGCGGGCGCTGCTGTTGTGATGGTACGACAACTGAGAAAGACCGCGCGTTATGAGGCTTGGACTGCGATGGCTGTGGCGGCTCCTCCGGTTTGACTTGTGAGTGTACGCCTAAGTTGCTGCTGCTGGAGTTGGGGGTCACGTTCTGTGTTGCAGTCGGAGTGCCGTCTCTGCTCAACAGACGTTGCTTGAGCTCATGCAAAGCTGTGATTGTCCTGTCCCTTCCTAGGTCGACTACATCCGACAGGTATGAGAAGTCTGTAGTCTTGTTCTCGTCGTCGAACGCGGTGTTTCTCAGCTTCTCCAGCAGCGCTGCTTGCAGTTGGATGGTGATCTGCTGCAGGTGTATGATGCCGAGGGTGTCTCCATGCTCGAATGCCTTTCCGAACCTCGTCACTCCGCGTTGCTTCTCTTTCTCGATCTCGGCCGGAGCTTGGTCGAGAGACTCCTCCAATAGCCGTGGCGGCGGTGGTGCACGTTTCAACGCCCGCTTCCTCTTGATCTTCTCCAGGATGGCACCGCCGTCATTGAAGGCTTGCTTGACCTGATCCAGGCATTGCTACACGCACGCTGCTTTAGCACATGTGCCTTCGCACTCTGTAACATGCTTCCAGAAGGCGGGGCGGGGGCGCGTGTTCGTGGGGTGACATGGCGCGACTCACTGTGATGTTGACTGGCACCTCCGCACTGATGCTCATTGGGACTGAGTTTCCGGCTCGTCAGGCCAGCATGGAATATTCTATCAGGCCGGGAAGCAGAGAATGGCGCGCTGAAGGTTCCTTGGACGACTGCGACAAGGCGGCGAGGCGGTGTTGGCAGCTGCCATGGCACAGCTGGAACGCAGGCAGCTGAAGCCTGGAGATTGGAGACTCGACCATGCGCTTCGCTGCATGTGGCTCTCGGGCGACGGGCCAGATCTATTCTAGCCTCAGCCTGCCGACGCGGTGCGGTGCGAGTCCGCTGCCATGCATAGTCATCATCGTCGACCGATGCCGTCTGACTTGATCAAAGACATCGCAGCCTTGTGGCTGACATCCATGGATGCAGATGATATGCGCCTAGGAAACACATGGCGACGGCGTGGGCGTGGAAGCGGCTGGCTTCTAGAACACTGTAGATCTATCACCTTGTCCTGTCCTGCCGAATCTGGAACGTCATTTAACAGGCCAAGCAGAGTTAGTCTTTTGACCGATGTGAATGGATCGCATACTGCCGCCGCTAGCTAATGTTCCCTGTGTCAAATATTTAGGTACAGATGGCGTTCTTTCTTGTCTGCAATAATGACGCTTCGATTGTAAAGACTTCCATAAAGAGGTTATGGCCTCGTTCTTGTCCTTGTAACATTGGCTGTCGCCCAAGGTACCCTTACCAACCAACAGTATGTCGACAGCGAAGGAAAGACATGGCCGATCTGCCGGTATGACAATGGAGGCCACTGTCTCGCCGGCCTTAGGGCAAGTCGTGTTTGGAGTTCTTTCTTATTTTCTCGAGGATGTGGGATTATGCCTTGGGAGTTTGGATTGGATTTCTGATTAGAGGAGAAGAGTTCTGGGGCTGGGTTTATTAGATAGTTAGCGATGGGAGTGGTCGCTTGTTATCGTTTGATGTTGACGGTACAGCTTCGACAATATCATAATCGTGTTCTGAGTAGAGTTCTGATTCGCTTGCTTACGTTTGCTTCATATCTTGGTGGTGGCGCTTCGATGACTTCTGCATCTTGCCTGGCCTCGTCTACTTTACTCATTATCGCTAGTAGAGGTTGCTGTGATGGAATGATCTAATCGTGGAGCACTTCAAGAGGGAAATCTGTCTTGACTATGATTGAGATCGATCGCTGTGCATAGAATCACAGTTGCGCTATATAGTCAGCAATATGATGTCGGTAACCGGAACGTAAACAAGAAGTAAAGCAGGTGCCTACGATGTATACTATTACGAGGTGTGGCCGAGCCATTTTGCTGAAGCCTGACGCGAACGTGTTTGCTGCGCCACATGAGACGAATCCTCATCGGCATTACGTAGATTCGGATTTCCGCCAAGAATCTGAAGGCTGACACATGCCTTCCGTGTGGTCAGTATAAGCATCTTACATAACACTGCAGTTCTTGCCCATCTCCCAATACGCTTGCAGATAACTGTCTTCAGAAGCTTCATCGTTCGCGTCAATTTGCCCTCTCTTCCTCTTAACACCGGTAACCTTGAGCCTCTGCTCACCTTCGCTATGCCACCATCGCAAGACTTGCTGTGCAGCGCCTTCGACTTCTTCAACAGTCCTGATCTCCCATTTGCCTCCTGAGACTTCGACATGGGTCTGGTTGCCTGTCCGCGGGAAGTGGAATTCTGGGAGGAAGATTTCCGTGGGATAATTTGTAGGAGTGCTTGAAGGCGCCGTGAGGGACAGATTGAAGATGCAATTCTTGAGGTCAAAGCCATACGAGTCAATGGTGCCATGTACTACCACAGGCACCGGTCGTGTATAGGCTTCTGCAGCGCGGCATCCCTGTTTGGTTTCTCTAGCTGGTTTGGAAGCCGTGGCCTCCATGGAATCGATGCTGAGCGTCTTCCGAATACTGCTCGGAGTTGCTGGATCTTGAGTCGCCGACTCGCTGTAGCTCGGACTGCTAGCGTCAAGGCTAGGTCGTCCAACAGCACTTGAAGGTGAGGGCAGCGGCTTGTCTTCTGCACAGTATATTGACAGATCTTCTCCGTTCCAATTGTCGCCCCAGAAATGACCATTGGTAGCCGTGTACACCCACCACGTCATTCCCTGCGCACCAGAGCCTTCCACAGCGTAGCAATTGGCATCGATAGCGGCAGCCTGGCTGCTGTAGTCGCCGGTCTCGTAAGCGTGCTTATCGTCCATGTCGTACGGTATGCCAATCTCGGTGTAGAGGCACGGATGCACGCCCATATTATCAATGCCTTCTTGTCGCACTGTGCTCAATTGGTCTTTAAAGCAATTGCGAATAGCTGTCTCGCCGAGCTTGATCGCGAATGCGGGAGAGCTGTACTTTCCTCGCAAAACTCCAAGCACATCGATGTTCCAGATCTTGTTCCATTTCTTCGTGATGAGGGTGATGCCGTCGTAAAAGTGCGATGCAAAGATCATGTTGGGATCGTCGCCTTCGGGAGTGCCCTTGATTGTGGGTGGGATCTCGAAAGGTGATGGTTGCATCAGCATAAAAGCCTCTGGCCATATTTCTCGGATGGCGTCCTTGTATTTTCTGTAGCAATGCATATATTCATGATTCGTCCAGTATTCTTGATTCATCTCTTCTCCGGTGCTTGGATGTTTGGCAAAGTACTGCGGCAGCAGCAGCTCGTCTGTTTGTGGACTCCAAACGCCATGCTGCGCCCAAATGCACTCACCAAGCTTCCATTCCGGGTCTCGCTTCCAACCATACTTGGTGTCATTCCACGTCGCGGGATCTAGCCACGCTTTTGTCCCTTTAGGCTCAATTAACTGCGTCCCGCTCTTGTACGGTCCAAAGCTGCCAAAGTCCCAGGTATCAACTTCAAGTGCTCTGCCAGAGCCAGTGAGCATTGCCTGAAATGCAGTCGGACATGTGTGTTTCTTCAAGTTCTGCTCTTTTGGTATGCTGTTCAGATCTGGATGTCCTGCGTATCCCTTGTTGGGCTCATTCATCGTTTCGTATCCAATCACCACTTCTCCTTCAAGGTCACCTGCCTCATGTATCCTTTGCGCCAAATGCTTACACGCGGCAATGAAGTGGTCTTGTAGGTAGTCTTGGATGTTCTTGCCATCGATGATGCACTTTGGCGCAAAGTCCTTACCAGAATAGAATAAAGTGAAGATTGTCTGCACAGCTAATCGGTAGTAATTTGTCGCCCAGATCATCTTCGGAAACTCGGCCGGATTGGACCATGTGTTTTGCACCACACTCGCCTCTCCGGCCTTCAACTTGGTCGGATCCAGTCCACATGCATAAATAGTCCACATGGGTGCACCAGAACCGCCTGTGAATCGTGACCAGACGTCCTGATGCGGATCCATGAATATGTAGAAGCCATACTCTTTCGCTATTCGTATCATGTCGATTGTGTGTTTTATAAACGCTTCGTCATACTTTCCCGGCCCGGCATGTTCTAATGCTTCCCAGGTGAAAATATATCGAATCGTATTGTAGCCCATGCGCCGTAATCTCGAGAAGTGGACATGTGCCTCGTTAAGCGCGAATGGCCGATTCACGAATGATACATCGTCGCCGTCAAAGAAGCCTTCCCGGACATGAGACGGTATGTCTGGCTCGTGAGGAAACTTGGTATCGCCCGCGAGATTCATGCCATGTAGAGTGACCTGCCGATTCTGTGAATCTCGGAACGTGGCGCCATCTATGCGCAGGCGATGAGAAGGCATTGCAGCGTAGCTGCACGTATAGGAGGGATGAGTATGGTAGAAATGTGGAAAGAGGAGTGTAGCAGACTATGATCTCGTGCCCATGTGTCTCTCAAATGGTGATGGTCGATCGGCTGGCGGCCCGATTTCCCAGCTCCAAGCTCTCGGAGACAATACGATCAGTACAATCAAAGCGAGCAGTATGCGGTCAAGCTGGAACGGCCTGCAGATATTCCGGATGTTGTATATTAGCGACAACAGAGGATGGAGGAAGGTCAGCGTCTTGAAATGACATTGGAGCTGGGTCGGCGTCGGCACTACGTCATTAACACCGATGCGGCTAGAGCGCAAGGGTTCGGGGGGTCGCTCGGCCGAGGGCCCATGCGCATACATGCATGCAATAATGGAATGGACTCGAACGAACAAGTGTCGACTTGCAAACAACACCTTTTATTAGGCCTACGACACCTTACACCTCACACCCACGCCGTCCACACTCCATCACGGGCAGAATGCGGCTTCAACTGTCGTCGCTGGCGCTTGGAGCCCTGTGCTTCTCGACTGTGCCGTTTGCGAACGCCGCCGTAGATATCCCTCCCGACACTCCAGTCTCACAATTGATCGCAAGCGCCAATGCCAATCTGGCAAAGGGCAAAGCTCACGATGCACTCACATACTTTGACGCAGCCATACACAAGGACCCGAGCAATTACCTGACACTTTTCAAGCGAGGCGCGACATATCTGTCCCTTGGCAAGAACCTCCAAGCGCAGAAGGACTTCGATCAGGTCCTCACACTTAAGCCAGGCTTCGAGGGAGCATTGATCCAAAGAGCCAAGATCAAAAGCAGAAATGCCGATTGGGCAGGTGCCAAGCAGGACTACATCGCGGCGAAGAAACAGGACACGGAAGATTGGCAGCAGCTGGAGGAGGCAGAAGGAGCAGCGAAGCTATCAGCAGACGCTGAGAAGGCAGGCGATTGGGAAGCATGTGTGACACACGCTGGAACTGCGATTGTGGTCGCTGGGACAGCTTTGGAGCTGCGACAGCGAAGAGCCAGGTGTCGCTTTGAGAAGGGCGAGATCATGGAAGGATTGGCAGACCTGAACCACGTTCTTCAAATCAACCCAGGAAACCCGGAACCATACCTCAAAATATCAGCCATGTCCTTCTATTCGCTTGGCGAGATCGAAAAGGGCACCACTGCGGTATCGAAGTGTCTGCAGAACGATCCCGACAACAAGGCCTGTGCTAAGCTTCGAAAGAGCGAGAAGGCGATCGAGCGAACGTACAAGAAATTCAATGCCTTCTTCGAGAAGAAGCAATACGCGTCGGCAGTGAAGCTATTGATAACACAAGGAGACGAACCAGGACTTCTAGAAGACATCACGCACGACGTCGCGGCATGGCGAGAAGCAGGGTACATTCATCCAAATGCGCCCAGTGGACTCTACGACACTCTTGTGGAGCAGACTTGCGAAGCCTACAGCGAGATGAACAACAAGAAGGCCACTCCATATTGCGAGGAAGCTTTGAAATACAATCCGAAGTCTTTGCCGGGTCTCCTCAACAAGGCACAGACACAAATTGCTGCAGACGACTTCGAGGCCGCGCTCGGTACTCTTCAACAGGCAAATGAAGAGCACGGTTCGAATCCGAAGATTCAGGAACTGCACAGAAAAGCGCAAACGCTGCTGAAGAGAAGCAAACAGAAGGACTACTACAAGGTGCTCGGCGTTTCTCGAGACGCTGATGAGCGAGAGATCAAAAAGGCGATGAGGAAGCTTACGAAGGAGTACCATCCAGACAAGGCGGCAAAGAATGGCATGAGTCAGGAAGAAGCGCAGAAGAAGATGTCTGCCATCAACGAAGCATACGAGGTTCTTTCTGACCCCGAGTTGAAGGAGCGATTCGATCGTGGCGAAGACCCCAACGATCCACTACAAGGCCAGGGTGGCAATCCATTCCACGGCTCACCGTTTGCTTTTCAAAATGGACAACCTATATTCTTCCAGCAAGGCGGGGGAGGTCAACACTTCACGTTTCGAACTGGAGGCAACGGTCGCGGAGGCTTCGGAGGCTTCCCCTTCAACTTTGGTTGAGCATTTGTGGTTTGAAGGGTTGCATTTATCAAAGGCGTTTGAGATAGGGATGGATAGCGAAGAGCTCTGCTGTCTTGATGATACCATTACTATTGCTAAAGTAGGCCATGCTGGGGTTTCAGAGCCCCTGGTGGCTGAGATGTGCGATGATGAATATACCGAGTTCAGTGCTGTCACATGCGGTTTCAGATGCGGATTTCTTGAGTGGTGGATAGGCTCACATGTCTAGACCATATGTGATGTCCATGCTGCGGCCATAGCCGCCATACAACTGACATGTGTCTCATATCAACCTTACTTGCCCTGTACTCCCCACTAAATCCGTGTCTGTGCTTCTTTCACAGTTTGTAGCTAGGGTCTGCCGCCTAAAGTCGAGATCTGCATTTTTAAGTTACCCACACTCCCGAGCTGCAGCCTGCACGACAACGGACCTTGCATATCAAACTCCAACAGTCGACACGCTTTCGACTGTAGACACTCTCACCTACCAGAATCAGGCAAGGACAATCGTTGCAACACCATCAGCCGCAACAGTGAGCCATCAATCGTCATGCCCAGAACCACCAAACCAACACAACAAGGACGGTAGAGAGCAGGAAGCATGGAAGGCACCGCCGACGGCGCCTTCAGCACGTATTGGCAGAAAGCCAATACAGACGGGCAAGTCGCCCACATATCCGAAGCATTGAATGCCACGCTTGACCCGCGAACCCCCAATGATATCAGAAAGCAAGCCTTACAACATCTTGAAGCAGTCAAGAACCAGCCAGATGCGCCTCAACACGGATTCACGCTCGCCGATGACTGGAAGCAAAATGACGCCATCCGGTATTACGGACTGCAACTTCTGGAGTTCGCAGTGAGGTATCGTTGGCATGAGTATACAGAAGAGCAGGCGCAGCAAATCCGAACATGGGTGAAATGCTTGGCGGGAAGTCTGCGAGAACAAGATGCAGCATATCTGAGAAACAAGGTCGCGCAGCTGTGGGTCGATGTTGCGAAGCGCTGCTGGGGAGACGGGGACTGGATGGACATGGACGCGCTCCTGCTCAATCTCTGGGAACAAGACAAGGGCGTCGTCAACAAGATCCTGGTGCTCTACATCATCGAAACCCTCAGCGAAGAGATTATGGGAAGTGGTGAAGATGCTGTGGCTGGGCTGAGACTGGATGTCCTAGGAAATGCTCTCAATGAGATCGTAATCCCCCAGGGCATGTATGAGGCCCACGCGGAGACGAGAGGAAATCGACAAGAAGTCAGATGCGGACAGGAAGGTTGGCTATTGAGGATATGCAATTTCTTCTCGCTTTGCGTCAAGCAGGCACGTTTCATGGACGGCCAGCAACAAGGCGTAGTGCAGCAGATGGAGATGTGCGCCATTAAAGCTCTGAACGCGCTCAGGCCGACTATGGCTTGGGTCAGCTTGAAGGGAGCCGACGAGGTCAAGTGTATTGACTGCTTGTTCCTGCCCTTCCACACCAGGAGTGTGGCACTACAGACCGCGGCTGTCGAGGTGCTGTATGCCCTACTACAGAGACCTTACAACCAGCATTTTCAGGAAGTCTGGACTGCACTATTCAGACAGGCGATGAAGCCCGAACGAGTGGCGATGATACGACAGGCCTTTGAGGCGACTGTCTCTGGACCTGGAGAGGACGAAGAAAAGTACACGCTACAAAAGAAAATGTCGGAATTACTCTATGTATATGGAGACTCTGTCGCCCAGCACCCAGAAGTGCTGGATGATACGATTGACCTTCCGGCACTGTTTGACCTGCTTCTGCTTGTCCTGCAGCACAAAAGCTTGAAAGTGTCGATACCGGTCTTACACGTCTGGACCAAGCTGCTCAGCGTGCAGGAGGACAAGGTGGTGGATCTAGTCCTGGATGCACTTGCTACTTTGATGCACGTGTGTAGTGAGCGACTCATACGATACGAGTCCATTCCCGAGGAGACTGAAGACGAAGTCTTAGCATATCTTGGAGACGATTTCGACACCATACCAGAACGCCATGCTTTCCTTGGGAACTACCGACGCTACTGCACACTCATCATACAGTCAATCGCCCGCTTCCGACCCATCGACGCACTTTCAATAGTATTGAATCAGATGCAATCGTTGCTGGAGGAAGGCCCATACACTCAAGGACGAGGTTTCGATCCTTCCAAGTATGATAAGAGCTCTATTCCGAACCTGAAATTTGATGCCCAGTACAACGTTGTTGCAGCAGCACTCAAAGGATATTCTTCATGGATTGGCGATGTGGCAGACATTACCCCAGAGCAGCCACTCTATATCAAGGTACAAGAGGATCAGCGACAGGCGACGGAATCATTGCAGCAATGGTGTCAGGGCATGGCAAATGTGCATACCGATAATCCTGGCGTTGCTGACCAAGTTCTTGCGACACTGGTGGCTGTGCTTAGGACGCTCAGATCACCAGTGCAGAGCTTCGTTCTGGCAATGGTGCAACATCTGCTGACCATGAGGCTGTATGATCAACCACAATTCAACACGTTCTCGGAGGCTGTCAAGTCTTTTGAAGCTCTCCGAGTCGTTGAACTGCAGAAGCTGGCTCTAGCTTTTCCAAATGTTCTTTTAGAAGTTTACAATGAACTTGAGCCTAGAGTCACCGTGCTCATGGAGAAGCACAATGATGACCAGCGGCTCGTGTGGGGTTTCAGAGCTTTCCTGTTTATGATTGTGCATCGCGCAACAGGCATCCCAAACGATGTCCGCGTGACTCGCTTGCAGCAAATGCTTCAGCCGACGTACGATGCTTGGACGGATTCAAGGCTCAAGGCATCTGTGGAGACCTTCTCAAGCTTTTGTGAGACTGTCGGATTGGGCAATATACAAGACTTTTATAGATCGCATGGCTTTGATCGAATATCGGACTGGTCATCTCAGAATCTGGATGACGCAGGAGTTGCTCGACAAAATCAGATCAAGGAGCTTGCGGATCAGTTACCCCTTCGCATTACCAAGTCTATGCTCACTGCTTCAACCGAGAAGCTCAAAAGTGGATCCGATGAGTATTCCAATGCATCGGAGTTGTGGAGCAATATCACGCCGGTCGTCCTCCCGACGCTGCTGAAGTTGATACGACATGCGCAGGCCTTTCATAACATGGAAAATTGGTCCCATCTTCCAGACGAGCTTCAAATGGTCGTCAGGCGCACCCTCCAAGATCGCTTCTGGCAGTCTGGCATCTCCAATGAGAGTAAGGATGAGTTCTATGCCCGCATCTCAGGCTCCAAGACTTCCTATGAAGGCTTTGCCAGCACGGTTCGCGGGACCATGCGCAACATTCGCGAGATGGGATACCACATCGTCTACCTTATGACTAAATTCGACGAGCAGTTTTACGGGGTTGACAGCCTCGCAGAACCTCTAGCCGATGCCCTTTTCACCGACGCTGGAAGTCTGAGCACCAACCATCTCCACCCTCTCATCAATCTCACTACTGGACTAGTTCAGCGATGTCCACCACAGTATCGAGCTCGGTTCTTACCTCCGATTCTACGTCGCCTCTTTCTTGCCCTGGACGACAAGATCTCATCTGAATGGGCTTCTCTAGAGCAAGCTGCTGAACAAAACAAGAAGAAAGACGATGAACTCAGCGACGAGATGCGAACAGAAAGCGTCCTACGTCAACTCACCTTTAGCATGGTATCCTTCGTCCCATTCCTGCTCGAGTACGATCGTACGCAACCTCAAGCGAATGGTACCATCAATGGCGCAGCTGTCCATCTCCCAAGTCGCCAATCATTATCCGACCTCATTCTCTCGGACGCCACCGTCCTCGAGCCTTTGATATTGTTCTGTACCCACGCCCTCCGCATGCGGGATGGCAGGTGTTGCAGCATGATCTGCAAAGCTTTCAGGAACCTCATCCCGCTGTTCTCACACACCACACAATCCTCCTCTTCGCCAATATCTGTCGAGACTGCGGCTCAAGTTCGGGAGTTCATCTCGAATGAAGTCCTGAAAGCTTGCATCACGAGCTTGAACGATCGCGGGTTCGTAGATATGCAGAAGGACCTCGCAGCTCTGATCGCAAGCATCATCAACCTCTACGCCTCAAAGACTCGCACCCCACGACAGCTCCTCCTCAGTCTCCCGGACATGGCCGAGACCAGAGTCGACAAAGCCATCGCGCGCATCTCTCGCGGCGGGAACGAACGCCAACAACGCGCCATCGTCCTCGAACTTCTGGAACGTGTGAGAGGCGTCAGTATTCACGAGATGGGCAAATTTGACAAAGTCAAGACGAGCAAGGTCCAAGACAGATATACCACTACTATGAACACCATGGAGGTTGAGAAACAGCCCGAAGCAGCTACTGAGGATGGCGCCCTCGATGGTGTGGCAGGATTGTTCGGGAATGAGGGCTAGGAGCCTCCTCAATCTCAGAATGCTTTCCCACCGCAGAAGGTTGTGTTACCGCTGAAGTATCGGGGCGACGAGCAGAGGTGGAGAGCGAGACAGGCTGAGATGGCTAGGGCTGAGGAAATTGAGAAGAGGTTGTGGGGTTCGACGAGATGAATTGCGGATGATTGAGACGTGAGACGTTGAAACGGCCTTGTCCTTTTTTGGGGTGGTTTTTTTTTCTTTCGATTCGTGCGAGATGGTGATTGATGCTCACGCATGCATGAGATACCCTTTTGGAACAGAACATGGATTGTGTATTGTAAGGTAAGGTAGCGTTTGATGGAAATTAGGTCAAGTAAGTACTTACTTCTTTCCGATTTCGTATGTTTCTGATGGAGAGGGAGAGGTTAGTGGTGAGAATTCTGCTCGTATCCTCTAGATGTGAGTGAGTTGACGAAAGGAAGAAAAGAAGGCATCGACCAGTTCTGTGGAGGAGAAAAATCGCAGCAGGAATCGATAATGCTACTACCGCCGGCCATAACCTTACCGCTCGATATTCGGATTCTCGGGGGTCACGTAGAGAGAAGAAGAAACTATTTCGCATCAACGCTCTTAAATGCTATAAGAGGTATCGGAGCCTTCGTAATACCAGTTACAAATATCATCTTTTCCGCTAGAGACGTAGATATATTCCGTAGCCATGGATACCAAGATCGAGGCGTTATCGCAATCGGTAGTAGGGAGGTCAATAGGACTTTTTCTATCGATTTATTCGGATCGATAAATAGTTTAGTAGTAGTCAGACACTAGAAATGCGTATTTTTTTAACTCTCCTGTGGTAGGAAATGCAAGCTTCACTTGCAATATAGGTCATATACTATATATAGTGTGCTAAAGAGCGATAAGGCTGGCTTGGTAGCCGATCTGAACACCTCCTAGAAATGTTGTATCGCGATGGCAACTCGCAGTCCCTTCTAACAGTTCTCAAACCTCGTTATACACCTCATCAGCCTAACATGCAAACGTTTCATTGTCGCACAGCATCGTGTGGAAGGCAGCTAGCGGTTGTCTACATTAGTGGCAAATAGAGCAAGCCATGGAGCTAGTGTCAGGGTTTCGTGTTCGCGTCACCACCAGCCTTGTGTGAGTACGTATGATAGGCGATGTGATCCTAAGCTCCGTTCTGTAGAGGTGTTAGCTATAGTGCAGTGCTTGCCTGTTGATGGCTTAGTTGGCATCCTTTCGGAGAGTGCCGCACGTGAGGGTGGTATAGGAGTGGAGGTGAGGAGCAATTGACGCATGTGGCTTCAGAGCGGGTCGAAGGAGCCTTGCCAAATGCCTTTGATAACTTTTGAGATGTTTCGGAGGGGTCCAGGAGGAAGTGTTATCAGGACGGAAACTCTGCAGTGCTTATCAAGTGTGCTGATTGTTTCCAAATAGGAGTTGAATCCAAGCTCGTGAACGAAATCGGGAGAGCTCATCAAGGGATTTCGGATCCATGATTGAGGATTGTGGAATCTGCAATGCACTTGCGCCTCGCAGAAGCCACCGCCAGCGCTAAAACAGCTGTGCCTGCTTTCTGCCAGGCGGGCTATCAGGCGTACCGAATTTTGGTCTTGCTGTCCGTCATGGTCAATGTCGACAGTTGGTGATGTCTTTCCATCATCGCCAACGCACGATAAGTTTGATTGTGGTTGTGGAGGAATTCTCGTTATCGGAGGATCGAGCGAGATGTACAGCCCAAGCGCTACTGCACATGTACGGCACATCACCCTTGGCAAGCACCGAGAAGAAGCTTGCGAGGACGCATATGTAGTGCTTCAGGGACGATCTCATGTGAGCCGCGTACGACAGAGAGTGTATTCTAATCCTTTCAGTATTGTGAAGAGCTTTGTCGCTGGCCTTCGTGAGTAATCGTCATCACCCTGTATCAACCAGAGGAGATGGGCTGAAGCCTTGCCCTGAAAGAATCCTTGGCCAACACGCGCGTAATGCATGAGCGTTCGCTCGAAAGAAAGAACGACGTTCCACGTAGCGTGTACGAATACGCAGCACATTCATTGGAGCAGTGAGTTAGGGCCTTATTACGTTGATGACTCGGTATGAGAGATCTCGGACATAAGGTGAAGTCGCAAATCAGGATTGAAGACCACTTCATGCATCGACTGCGGCTGTGCGGTGCCGTAGTGGATATCGATGTTGGCTCCGGAGGATGCAACGGCTGTTATTGGTACGCGAAGACTTGTAGCAGACTCCATTCTGAGCGCATGGCTTGACTAGCCGTAAGACGGATATTGCTGCGGACCGCTTCGGTTAATGGTGTTTCGCAATAATTCGTCGAGACGCATGTCCAACCAGGAGAGGGAATTGTCAAAGACATGACTCTGTTTGGTATCTTCATCGACAGGCAAGGCTTCCAATTGAGATTATTGAGTGCGGCGCATTTGTACTGTACATGTCCTTCAACAGGGGTGGGGCTTCGATATATCAGCAAGCACCTGGATTAAGATGAAGGGAACCGTGACAGAAAATCAGGGTTGACTTTCTTGAGCAAGACATTCGTCGGATTATTGTTCATAGCACCATTCAACCCGCAACCCACCTTCGACTGCTGGCATTGACCATGAATGTAATAGTCTCCGCATTGTGGATTCGTGACGCCATCGATTGCGAAAATAGTACTCGCTTGATGCTGGCTGTCGACTTGTGGTATTTTAGTGAGTTTAATGCATGCGGCGTTCTTCGAGTAGCGGCCTTCCATCAAAATATGGAGTTGTTCTCCTGTCGATTCGTTCCCCGGTATATACGACTATAGGATGGACGCACAGCAGAGATGATGCATGACTGGTAACAAGCAGTCTCGAAGACACCGCTTATGTCAGTAAAGAGAGCTGCAGTATACGGTGTTATAGGTGAAGAGGGTGCATAGTGAAGCGGTGTGTTGGTGTGGTCTATCTCCGGTTCAGACCCTTGCTGACTAAGCGCAAGGAAGTGTGGTAGGTGTGGGTCTTCTGCCTGCCTTCTACTACTATGCTCCTTCTACCACTACTACCACTACTACTAATCTATATCGGACTACTACGCGACCGGACCCACACTACTATACTAACCTCCTTGCGCTAGCAAGGGTCTAAGGACAAATATCGCAAAGCTATAGAGGCAGTCCTTATAAAAATACTAGGTTATTAACTAGCGTGAAATCTCGTAATTTAGCACTCGCATCTTATTGTCCCGTCAATTCTGAGTTATTCTATGTATACAGTATTCAAATACAACGCGTAGTTATTAAGAAAATAAGTAATATTTAATATAGGTAGCTATAGGTATACGACGGGTTAGTGCAGTGTCTAACCACCTAACATCTAATATACGAAATACACACATCTAAGACTAGGAGATTGTAGAGCGACTATTTCTAAATACTGTTTGTATAGACTACGTATATCCCTAATGCCTACCTACTAAATACTAGCCCTTAAGCGAAGCTAACTTGTTTACTAGAATTGAGACCTTCGAATATCGATAAGCGATAATGCGGAGGTTGTAGAGCGGCCATTTCTAGATCACCTTAATACGAGCGATATATACGTAGAGCGTAGTGTTATTATATTGTATCTAAGTAGCGGAGGCTATTTAGCTAGCTTAAATCTATCGACAAAAGCTAGTACTATAGGCTAGTATTATAGGCTAGCACTATAGGCTAGCACTATAGGCTATCGTAGATTATGCTTATCGCTAATTGCGCTCCGTTCTGCGCTAAGTAGTAGAAGATTCTCGTATACGGCTTCCTATAGGTTGTCGTTTGTCGCGCTAATTAATATCGTATATACCGCATTAATCGATCTCGTATTTGTAGAGGTGCTACTACTACTACTACTGCTGCTACTATATATTAACGAAGTCTTGTCGGCGTTGCGACTAATCGTGCTGTCTTTGTATATAAATCGTAAGTCGTAAACTAAGCGCTTTATACTTCCTTAGTTAAGTAGGTCTAACTAATAAAGCCTTGCCGCTTTAAGCTATAGGTGTAATAGTAGTACGGACGCCCTTCTTCGTCTCTTCTTCCTGCTCCTACGTTCTTCTACCTATATTTAGCACTCGTACTACCGCTAGTACTCGCACTGCCGCTAACACTCGCGTCTAGCACTATTATTGCCGCTAATATATCTAACTCTAACTCTAACCTACCTAACGCGCTATCCGGTCTAGCGCCGCTATACCTCGACCCTAACCTCTTATCCGAGCCGCTATCTAAAATAAACTTAGACTCCGATTAGTAGGCGGAGATATAGGCTACACTTAATACGGACCTTGCCCTTTAGTAGAACGAGCGTAATAAGCGCAATAAAGACGAAGCGCGTCGAGAGGCATTGTTATAAGCGGTCGCTAATAAGGACATATACGAGCTAGAGGCGTATAAGCAGGATAATAATCTTAGTAATAATAATATTATATTAGAAAAGGCGGAAGAGGCTCCTATCGAGGAAGACGAGGCTATCGACCTATTTAGCGACGTCGAGGAGGATAATAGCGATAAACTCGCGGACGAGGAAAATGCGGAAGATGCTAGCGTAGCTATACTACTACGCCGCTAGACTCGACAACAAACTCGACTCGTAGCCGCAGCCGCCGCCGCTGCCGCTAGTCCTTAGCGACATATTTAATAGAATAGGACTACTCGAGGCACTTAACGCGTTCGTAGTTAGCGTCGTACCCGCGAGTAGAAGTACGTTAATATCTTTAGAGAGATAAAGCATACTAGGCTCCCGCCTAAGCAGTAGATAATAATCTTTAATAGTTATAGCGAGAAGCTAAATAGGACTTATCGCAACTATATCCGCTAGTCTATAGCTGCCCTTAAATATAAGTATATCGTCTTAGCTCGAGTTATTCGCAACGAACTAAAGAAGCTTGTTAGTTAGCCCTTCTTTAACTAATACAAGCTAGAGGATTCGATATAGGAAGTTAATATATAGGAGATATATAGTATAATCGAGGAAACTACGCTAATATAGGTTAGTCTCCTACGGAAGCTGCTTCTAAACAAGAAGATATCTATCGATAAAGAGAACGATCTACCGTAGAAGCAAGATCGCCTCCGTAAGCGTATTGCGGTAATAACCTAGATAGCTATTCGCTCGATCTCCTTAAAGAAGGCTTCCGTATTCGGCAAGCAATTCGGCCTATACCTAGTTACTAGTAGTATACTATACTATGTAATTAGTGTTATTAACAATATAGGCCTATCTAGTACCGCTCGCACGATTTAGGTACTAATACGGAAGATAGAGGCAGTTTAGGACTAGCGTATAATCGTAATAGCTCGAGACAAGCGGAGTTTCTCGGTATACGATAACCTAGTTAA